TCTTCTAAGACATTTATGAAGATATTGAAAAGTACTGAGCCTAAGACAGAACCTTGTGGTACCCCACTGCTTACTTCCATGTAGATATAGTGCCACTAAGGACTACTTGTTGAGTATGGTTTGTAAGTCAGTGACAAATCCATCTGGTGGTGATGCTGGCTATCCCAGCTTTCATTTTCTATAGCTTTTATTTCTGTGAGCAGAAATAAAAATCTTGATTGTTCATATTAAATGTAAAGTTAAAAATACCTTCAAAAATTTGGTTGAAATTCAGCACACTTATCCCAAACATTATTTTCCGCTCAGTAGTATATAAAATATATTCTTAGTGGTTCCTTTGGTTGTTTATCAAGGGTTGCTCAGGGAAAAGATATACAGCAGAAAATAATTCTTGAAAGGAAGCTTGCACTGACCTCTGTTGAGCTCTTGGAATAATTAAGTCACAATAGGGAGAGTTATTTATTGATGCATTTCTGAAAAAAGCTATGTAAGTGTTACATTTAGCCTGAAGCTAAGATTAAGGGAACACTCAACAGAATACAAAAATACAAAAAGATGAAAAATATATATTCTTTCTTCCTAAAAGGCTGGATATAGTTAATATGTGAAAATTAAAATCTCATTAAAAGGGTTTAAAGTAATCTTAAAACTACAATGGTAGAATCTACTATAGAATAAATATCCCTTAGTAGGTCTAAGAGATCCCAAATTCTTTGCTTAAGAACATAATCAGACCAGAAATTCATCTAGTTCAGTATCCTGTACCCATAGCAAACAACTAGATATAGATAAAAGCCAAAAATGTGATATTAACAATTATATTTTCTGCTTGCAATTAGATTCTAAGATATGCTGTCTTGTCATTAGTACTGACAAGTGTACCTTCTATTAATTTGGTTGCCATTACTGTATCTTGTTTTATCATAACTTTTCCAGAAGCCATACAGATTCTTTTTCAACAAGGCTTTATCCTTATGGGTTATTTGATTTTTAATATTCAATTTATTAAAGCCAGTTTAGTCTAGTGGTGAAGGCAGCAGGCTAAAAAACAAATGACTGTGAGTTCTAATCTTGCCTTAGCCATGAAAGCAGCTGAATGATCTTGGGCCAGTCACTCTCTCTCAGCCCAACCCACCTCACTAGATTGTTGTGAGGAACATAGGAGGAGGAAAATATGTTGGATATACTCACTATCTTGAGTTATTTGTAAAAATAATAAAAGGCGGGATATAAGCAAACAAACATACATTTACATGAAAGAAAATCATTTTTACTTTTAGTTGAAATATCTTTAATTTCATTTTAGATGAAATGTCTTTAATTCATTGAGAACTAGGTAATATAAATATTTAACTTTCTTTTTTATAACATTCTTTTTGGAAAGGAGCTGGATGCTTAAATTAGAGCAGGCATGTCAAACTCGCACGACGTATCGGAACTTTTTCGCCATTGCTGGCAATGGGGTGCGCACGGCTCCGGTGTGATGAAACTGGCCCGCGGGCCGGCAATTTGACACCCCTGAATTAGAGTATTGCTTTCTTTATTTGTTGGAAAAATAACCCTCTTTGGTATAGAATAATTTTTAAATCCCCTTTTTAAACTGAGTTACAGTCACCTGTCTATCAAGGATTCCTGGAATGAGCAAGTATTGGAGTCAAGTTCCAATTACTCTATCATATGTCATGCAAGGTAGCATTTTGCACAGGTTTTATTGGTTTTGTAATTGTGCACTTTAGCCAGAAAAATTCAAAACACCTGCATTTATGTTCCCCTAGAGTTAGGCTAAAGGGAAATATCCTCAATAAGAAAGCTAAGAACCCCCCAGGTGGATGGACGGGGATAATTCCATAATTAAAGCTTTGCAGGCCCAGCATAGGAGGATTGCAACTGTTCTCATGGTCCTGGAGTTCAGGTTTACACTGTCATTATTAAAAATGATTCTAGCCAACAGAGCTGCATCTGGAGAAGCTACCAAGCAACCTTTAACAAATCTAAAACATTTTGCAGAAATGTATTGTGCTTTATTTATACCTGGAGATTTTTATCTAGAAGTTAAGAGTTTTATTGAGATCTCTGGAAAAGTGGGCTAAGAATTAAAACCCACAGGGAAAAAAAGTTGGGTATTAAGGGATTATTTGGTTCCAAAAATCTGCAGATTATCTTTCAAAAATATAGATTAGGCTACATTCTAGAAAGTTTAGAGTTAATTAATGAAGGTAGTGTGAAATATACCGTATTTTCCGGCGTATAAGACGACTGGGCGTATAAGATGACCCCCAACTTTTCCAGTTAAAATATAGAGTTTGGGCTATATCAGGGGTAAGCAACCCAAAACACTGGGAGCCGCAAAACCCTTTTGATATCTAAAATGAAGATAAGACTGCATATATCCTTTTTTACCTTTATGATATGTGTGTGTGTGTGTGTATGTTTGCGTGTGTATATATAAAATAAAGATAAAAAAGGATATATGCAATGTTATCTTCATTTTAGATGTCAAAAGGGTCTCTCTTTCCTCTCTCTCTCTTTCCTTTCTTTCCTCTCTCTTTCTTTCTCTTTCCTTTCTCTTTCCTCTAACTTTCTCTCTTTCCTTTCTCTGTCTCTCTCTTTCCTCTTTCTCTTTCCTTTCTTTCCTCTTTCTCTTTCCTCTCTTTCTTTCCTCTTTCTCTTCTTTCCTTTCTCTTTCCTTTTCTCAATCTTTTTTCTTTCCTCATTTTCTCTTTCCTCTCCCTTTCTTTCTTTCCTCTCCTTCTCTCCCTTTCCTTTTTCTTTCCTCTCCCCCTTTCCTCTCCCTCTTTATCTCTTTCTCTTTCCTCTCTTCTCTTTCTTTCTTTCCTCTTTCTCTTTCCTCTCTTCTTTCTTTCTTTCCTTTCTCTTTTCTCTTTCTGTCTTTCTCTTTCTCTTCCTTTCTTTCCTCTAACTTTCTCTCTTTCCTCTCTTTCTCTTCTCTTTCCTTTCTCTTTCCTCTTTCTCTTTCCCTCTTTCCTCTCTCTTTCTCTTTCTCTTCTCTTTCTTTCCTCTTTCTCTTTCCTGTCTCTCTCTTTCTCTTTCCTCTTTCTCTCTCTTCTCTTCCTCTTTCCTCTTTCTTTCCTCTTTCTTTCCTCTTTCTCTCTCTCCCTCTCCCTCCAGGTTAGGAGAGAGAGAGAGAGAATGAAAGGCAGACGGCGCCGAACGGGTGGGGAGGGGGAGCAGGACGGGAGGCAGCAGCTCTAGTGGCGGCAGCGGCGGCACGGCAGCAGCCACTGCAGCATCGTCGGGAGTCCACGCTGCCCCCAGCCTGGCCGCCGTGTCCTCAGCCGAATGGGTGGGGAGGGGGAGCAGGACAGGAGGCAGCGGCTCCCGGCCGCCGCCCCCATCGCATCCTCAGCTTATATAAAGGAATAAAATAAAATACCCGTATTTTCCGGCGTATAAGATGACTGGGCGTATAAGACGACCCCTGACTTTTGAGAAGATTTTCAGGGTTTAGAAAGTCATCTTATACACCGGAAAATAAGGTAACTCCATACTCCCTGTCAGATATTGGGGAGAGATGCAAAATTACAAGAACTAACAGCTGCAGAATGAAAACCCTGAAAAATGCTTCTGTTGTTTTATGATAGTCCTCAGGAACTCCTGGCACAAAAGCAGCCATTGTGTGAATCTTCCCCTTGATAATAAAAAAAGGATCCAGGAAATAAGATAGGAGGTTCAAGAGTTTTTACAAATGTCAATTGAAATAGAATGCTCCAATTTGGACCACTAGCTGATCCTACATGAAAAGGTCAAAATGGCAGTTCCCACCAATTCTTTCCAAGCTGATGACTGGTGGGGAGGAAATACCTAGAAAACTGGGGCTGTCGTATTGGAAAAAGGGAACTTATTTGTAGTTGACTGTCTGCTCCAGATAAGGAATTCTAGATGTAGAAAAGCCCTTTCAATGATGGATGATGGAATAACAAGTCACCCACTGCAGCCAATCTCCATGGTTTTCTTAGCGGGATCCTCAGTTCTCTATAAAGAAATGCCTATTTGCAGAGTTAGAGATCTGGTTCCTAGAGAGAGCTAATGATGGTACAGCTGGAGTACCTTGAGGCAGGAAAAAAGGTTCATAGTAAAGTGGTACCTCCGTATTCAACTGCTTTGAAACTCATCAATTTGGTATCAACACAATTTTGATAAGAAATATTTTGTCCCAGTACTTGTCATTTGTTCAGTACTCAATGCACAAACTAGAACCTGTCAGTGTCGGTTGCCTTGCTACCCTTTCCAGTCCAAAGGGTGATGCTTTAGTCATGCGATAACGCTTGCCCTGAGTACATCCCCTTGCAGTCTTAGCTTCTCTGATCATTTTGTGTATGTTTGTGCATTTTTTTCTTATTAGTGCAGGTAAAGTGAAGTTTTAATCTAATCTAAGTATTTGTTAATTTTTAGGTTTATTTCCCATGTAAAGTTATGATATACAACCCTTTCTTTTTGCATATTGCCTTAAAATATGCATTGTCTTTTGTATGGGAATGCATTAAATTTACATACATTATTCCTTATGGGAAAATTTGTTTAGTACTCATCATTTTTGATACTCATTGCACCTCCCAATTAATGACAAATACCAAGATACCACTGTAGTTCTACTTACTATTTAATTTACCTGGCCTCCCATCTCACAGAAGTGATTCAGGGCAGTTTACAAAATTAAAAACTAACCAACCTCCCACCCTCTCAAACATAAACCTTCCCTCCCCCATATCCAATGATAAACTATTAACTCCCAATAATAACCAAGCTTATCTTCCCCCAAGTCATATGCCTGGAGGAGTGGACAGATTTCTTTCAAAAGCCTTACCTACTGTAATGAGTGGGAGCAGCAAGCCACTATCACTTACCCTTCTCCACTACAGGGAAAGATGTACCATTATCATTTACAATTACTTAAACACATTCAGTTCATACGATCAAGAATATTTTTTAAAAAAGACAATGCCACTCTTTATTTTTAAACTTTAATTGTAGAAAAATGATTCAGTTAAAATGCATATAAGGCATTTAACATTTTGAGGAGGTTATACAGGTGTGTTAAATAATAGTACATTATCTTTAATGTAGTATCCTATGGATTCACAGTGGCTTTAACATGAGTATGCAGTTTTTTAAGTTCTCAAAACTTAGCTTCTTGCAGAGTCCTTTTTATCGCTCAGCTGATAGGGAGAAAATAAAAGTTTTTTTAAAAAAAAGATTTTTGTGCAGAACAAAATACAGAAATATATACTTATAAAAGTCTATGTAAATTCTTAGCCATCCAGGTCATAATTATCCCAAAGGTGCTTTTTCACGAGGCAACTGGACTTTTTTTTTCTTCTTTGAAAACGTTTCACTTCTCATCCAAGAACTTCTTCAGCTCTGATGGTGGGGAATGGAAGGATTTATACTCCTTGCAGACAGCTGATCATTTTGCATTCTTTTAGAGCAGGTATGACAAACTACCGGCCCACAGGCCAATTGCGTCACGCTGAAACCGTGCCTATCCCATTGCCTGCAATGGGGAAAAAGTCATGATACATCACGTGATGTCGCAAGTTTGACATGCCTGTTTTAGAGAGTGGTTGAGACCACCTGGAAGTTTATCTGTGTCATCAGGGTCACCTGAATAATGCAAATGGGTGTCGAGCTTTCTTGGAACTGCTGAAAGGACTGTGTTGTAGACTGGAAATAAATGATGTTGTAGTACAAATGGGTGTGGACCTCTCTCAACAGAGGGGGAGGGATACAACATCATTTATCTCCAGTCTACAACACAATCCTTTCAGCAGTTCCAAGAAAGTTCCACACCCTTTTGCATTATTCAGGTGACCCTGATGACACCGATAAACCTCCAGTGGTCTCAATCACTCTCTAAAAGAATGCAAATGACCAGCTATCTGCAAGGAGTATAAATCCTTCCATTCCCCACCATCCAGTCAGAGCTGAAAAAGCTTCTTAGATGAGAAGCCATTTCAAAGAAAAACAAAAAAATCCAGTTGCCTCGTGAAGAAATACCTTTGGGATATAGTTATGAAAGCTGTGGACAGAATTGTAAACCTGCAGCACTGGTAAATAAATAGCAGCTGCAGGGACCAGATATAGTTGGAAACTGAGGACCACATAGAAGCGGGGATTTTTTTTTTCCTCTTAAAGAAGCAAACATGATTCAGTACATTGGAGTGGGTAGGAAAATTTACAGATGGAAAGTGATAAGAGGATCAAAACTTAATTAAGGAAATTAAGGAAAAATAATACCATGGCATTTTAAAACTTACTTCCTTTTATTTTTCTTTCTATTGTGTTTTGAAGGTTTTTTGGCATGCAGTTCTTTGAAAGTTATCTCTTCTTCTACTTCAATGTCCATTTTGTGATTATCAAAGTCTAATTTAAAAGAAGAGAAGAAATTGTTCAAGTTGTCATCTCTCCTCAAAAACCATATGCTCGTTATCATATATCAATATCTGGCTGTAGCTAAAGGAGAGGAACCCTTTGCAATAATACAATGATGTTTGAAATTATAATAGAATTGATAGCTTCTATCTTCATTCTGCCAGTCACCCTTTTTCCAAGACATATTCATTAAACATTAACAAATGAAGTAAAACTAGCACTTCTAAATGGCTTCATTCAGGAATGAGTGGTTTTCATTGTACAAAAGGGTAATCCTCGACTTACCACTGCTTGTTTAGTGAAATTATGACAGAGTTGAACAAAGTGACTTACAAAGCCTGCCCAAGGTTATGGATGCTGCAGTGCCCCACAGTCACTTTAAGAAAACATGGGTGTTTGGCAATTCGTTCAGCCTTATGACCAACAGCAAGGACTCTGCAGTGGCCCCCCAGTTTATCTCCCCCTCCTCCAATCCCACTGAGTCCACACAGGCCTTGGGCCTGTTTTCCTGCTTCGCTGGGTCCCATACCCTCCTCTCCATTCACCCACTTCATCATGGATTAGTCACTTACTACTTACTCCCCCACATGGCCTACCACATAATGGAGGCTGCATCCCGAAAGCAGGTGCCATTCTGGAAGTGTCTACAATTCATTCCAAAATGGTGCCCAGTTCCAGAATGGTGCCACATGGCCTCCACTGTATAAGGGAGGCTGTCAGGTGAATTGACATCTCCCCTTCCCGAATACAATTTCTGGTCTCCATATGACAGTATAGTGGAGGCTGCATAGTATTGTTTCAGAACTGTCACAATTCATAGCGGCCAAAATGGCATCCAAGTCTGGAATAGCACCATGCAGTCTCCACTATCAAGGAAGGCCACACAGCAGAATGGCTGCTTCCCTAAGATCTACAGAAAAAGTTAATGGCTGATCCATGATGGATTTCCACTGATAGGTTAATACAAGAAATGGAAAAACTGTATGACTGACCAAAACGTTTAATCAAAAATAGTGTAAAACAAGACCACTATATTAATATATACCAGACACAAAAAAACATAATACTTAACAAGTTTGTTTAGGGTAATCAATAAAAGAAAACGTTTCTACTTGAACAAATTTAATATTATACGGTAGGACTTTTCAGAAGAACAATGCTCACAAAACAACCATCCTCAAAGCACTTAGGCAGATACAAGTGCTGGATTTATGTTGCTGTTTGAAAATCTTTCTCAAATTGTCTGTGCATGCACAGGTAGCACTTCCATTAGGACTGCAAGCACAGATGTGCACATGCCATTTAAAACAAAAAACATACCTTCTTCCCTTGTATAGGATTCCATTTTCTCCAGCAACTTTATGGCGTTGTCTAAATTAGAATTCAGACTGGTAGCCAACTCAGAAATGATTTTCTTAGCTAAAGTACAAATCAGTGCAACAAATTAAAACAATGGGAATAACAAGAATATTAAAATGTGACATATATAGCAAAGATGAAGAATGGCTTTTCAGATATTATTAAGATAGTGAGCTCAGATCCAAGAGATCTAGGTTCCATTTTAATTTGTCACTGACATTTACTATGGGTAATCCTCGACTTACGGCCACAATTGGAACCAGAATTTCCATTGCAAAGCAAGGCAATTGTTAAGTGAGTTGTGCCCAATTTTATGACTTTTTTTGCCACAATTGTTAAGCAAATCGCTGCAGTTGTTAAGCAAATCGCTGAAGATAAATGAATTAAGTGGTCATTAAATGAATTCAGCTTCTTCCCCTCCCAATAGATTTTGCTTGTCAGAAGTGGCTGGGAAAGTCATAAATAGGGATCACATGATTGTGGGACACTGCAACCATTGCAAATACTATCAAGTTTCCTAATTTTGATCATGTGACTATGGGGATCTGTAACAATCATAAATGCAAAGCCAAATTGTAAGTCACTTTTTTCAGTGCTATTGTAACTTTGAGCAATTGCTAAACAAATGGTTGTAAGTCAAGGATTAGCTGTAGTTGACTTTGAGCCAGTCACTATCTTTCACTACAATTTACTTACAAGGTTGTTGTTGTGGAAACCAAAAGTGGGAACCCCTTTATAACTACTCTGAACTCCTAAAAGAAGTGGCATATAAATGTAATATAATAATAGTATTAAAATTTTAATATATAGGAACTCCTTCCTAAATGACAATTCGTTTGGCAACTGTTTGAAATTACAAGAAAAGGGGCTTACAAACAATGCCCAAAATTACAGCGGAAGTAGCACCTCTGAGATCACAAAATTACAATCTGGGTGCTTGACAATTCCCAAGTGCCCCACAATCATCACCCTTTGCCATCTTCTCTTCTGGCTTCCCCAGAAAGTCAATGAGGAAGTTAGCAAGGAAGGTTGCAAGTCTCTGCCGCCTGGCTGGTTCCTGGGGACTGGCTGAAAAAAGTCACTCATTTCAAATCTCTACAACAACTGATATACATGGGAACACCATGATTGGGGTGGTGGAAGTCAATTAGTATGGAAAGAAAAATCTATCTACATATGGTGGTGGTTTACCTACAGCTAAATAGCCATCTGACTTGAAACTCCAGTTACTGGAATGGGTGAAAATGAGTTTCCCTATAACTGTCAGAATATTTATATCCCTTAATGCCGAAGGATTTTAAATTGCAATTTTTTTATTTCTTAATCTGAAAGAAAAAAATTTTTGCTGAGAGAAATAGAAACAATTAAAATGCTTACCATCAGCCCATGCTTTTCTCTTGTAGATATCTTCCACAGTATCAGAAATCTTCTTAATAATACTTTGGATTTTCCTTTGTACTACTTCTGAATGTTCCTTGGATGCAAAGTCACCTCTGATGCAGGCTTTGTCTCTGATCATTTCCACTATATTCATCCCTCTACATATTGATGGTTCCATCTCATTTTTGAAAAAATCATAGTATCTCCAATACAATTTTTCTTTATTTTTATGCTCATCCAAGATAACATGGTTTTCAAAAGTTGTTCCAGTAGCAACTTTTTGATTTATTTCCATCATCTCCTCCCTATCAGTTTCTGTTGGAGATACTATCTCTTTGGATTCTTCTGTATGTTCTACCAGAGAAACAAAGTTTGCAGGATTTGAGGGAAATTTGACTCCACAAAGATCACATTGTGTTGAGTCAATATCTGCTCTTTTAAAGATCCCTAATACCATTTCCAAGGAGTCTGGCTTTGGACGTGGAATCCTTTTCCATCTAACACAACAACGCACAAACAGGAAAAGGGATTGTAACCTTTTCTTGGCAGAAGTTTTCTGATGCCGTTTTGATGCTATAATGGCTAATGGGTCTTCTGTGTCTTCAACATCAATGTCTTTATTAAGATCAATTTCTAAATCTTCAAAATAATCTGCCTGCCTGTGATATGCAAATCTGTCCAAGTCAGCAACTTCATAATAGATGCCTTTGACTCCTTTAGAATCCCACCTCCAAGAACAATCAGCTAAAAATTCTTTGTCTCGGCAAAACAGCAGCTCCTTGAGTCCTTCAACAACTTCTTTAACCTCAGATGCTTCAATCATGAAATCCACCATCTTGAACAATCTTTCAGGTATTTCAGATGGGTACTGTTTTTTCATTTCTGCAAGGTATTCCTTGATAGAAGGAAATTGCTCAGCTAATGCATCTTTATGCTTCCTACCAAGCACTTGATCAGCATTTATTAACATCACCAAGCAAAGCACCACTGTTCGCTCTGCTTCCCCTGACATGATGAAATCAGGATTACAAAAAGCATCCCTGAGAACATTGAAATTTTCATGTTCATATCCACACAAAACATTGGCTATATACATGAGGTGAAATTTAAATTTCCATATAGCTTGCTTTGGATTCTCTGGCTTATATTCTTGTATAACAGAAAATACGTCTTTTTGTTGAACTCCCCTTGTAAATAAAAAGTCCCAGTAGTGAAACAGGGCAATGTAGCTCCTGGGCAGACAAAGAGTCATGTTTTCACAGAGACGCATGAGAGTGGCACAACCAAAAACAAATTGAAATTCCAGCAAAGTCACTGTATTACCTATGCTTGGAATCAAAGGATGAATGCATTTCTTCACCAAGACATTCATGAAACGGTAAAACAGCCATTTACATTGCTCAGGATTTCTATGAATGTAGAGCTGATCCATTGAATTCTGCAGCAGTCGAATGAAACACAAGTGGGTGCTTACAGCATTTTCTGTGTATCTGTCAGTCATCAACATACCAAATTTGCCTTCTATTCCTTTGAATTTCTTTTTCCCGCTGCCTTCTAATTCTTTGCTATAGTCATCTTCTTCTTTACAAAGAAGGCTCTCAAACTCTGCAGGATAACTAGACGTCAAAGCAAAGACTTGCATTACTCTTAGCCACAGATCGGTGGATTCTCTTCTATTTCTGACAGTTTCATTTTTAAACTCAAACCTGATGTATTCTCTCAGCACTATATTGCAAGAATTAGTAATTCCATAATTCAGGATTTCTTTACAGTCCAACGGATTCTCAGAAACCATTCCCAAATGAAAGCATTTAGGAAACAGAGTATTAATGAGAGACCTGCACAATGCATATTTATCAGCTGTCAGCAGTTCATTGATGCCATTGGAATTGTGAAACAAATGTTTTGAGAACAATTGCTCTGCTTCTAGCAACAGCCCATTGATTGAAGCCAAGTGCATTTTACATTGAAATACAGATTTTAATTCATCATGTGCCAAAACTTTATGAAAATCTTTACAGGTTTTATCCTTGCACTGCAAGCCTGCAATGAATTTCATGCAAATTCCGGGAAAACTCAGTTCAAATAAATAGCGAATAATGGCAATTAGCCTATTTAATAAATGCTGATTCAGCACACTTTTTACTTCTTTCAAGCTAAGCTTGAACTGGTCACTTTGTTTATTTTCTGTTACTGTATTGTCTTCAGGCAAAAGTTCTAGAATACATCCTGCTTCTTTAGGGAAGACTTGCCAAAAATTTCCATCTATTGGCATAATCCCAAAATATTCGAAACATGATTTCACCATTTCTCTTTCTGCATTATTGCCTGCTTTTTGGAAAGCTTTGACCAGCTTCAGAATTGCCTCAGTCCCACAAACAGTCATCTGCAAGATGGCTCCATTTTCTGCTACACACTTTGTGGCTTGAAACAAAGCTTCTACAGCCCCAGCACAGTGATTCACATGTAAAAACATATCAAAGGCTACCTTCAATTTAGCAAAGTCTTTTGTTATAACACCCATCAAATAGGTGGCCTCGGCACTTCCCAATTTCTGGTTTGTTTGCTCAAACAGTTCTAAAGCATCACTCAAAATGGCTTTTACATCTGCAAGCTTAATAAAGCCTGCTACACTAAGGCGGGCTGCACCAAGTAAACAGGATGCTTGGAAGTCCATTTGATTAGTAAGTTTTGCTGCTTCCAAGAAAAAACCATGCTGTTTCATAAGTTTTGCAGCTTCCTCATCTCTGCCTTCTGCTTTCAACAGATCAGCTGCTTTCTCAATATGTTTGTGTGCTTTCAAGAATGCAAGCTGGTCTTCCGCATCCAGGTGAGAGAGCATCTCCATCATTTTACTGGTTTTATTTGTTCGAGAGTATTTTGCAGCAGCTTCCAAATAAAACTGGTCTGCTGTGTATGACAGTTTGAAATCTGCCCAATTTCCTTTTTGTAATATTTCTTCATATCTGAAAGAGATTAACATTATTCATGAAGGTCAGTCACAAAACTGAACTAATTACACAAATTTTAGCACAACTGGGAAAGAGAGAGAAGAAATAACATAGTTTCACATATTAAAAAGCAGCTCATTTTAAAAGAGTTGCATTATGTACATGCCTTGAAGTGTTAATGGTTCTCTATGTATTGAATAATGTCATGAGTGGAACTTCGGAAAAAAGGGTATAAGAAAGAAAAGAAATAAAGGAAACGTTGCAAAGGAAAAAATATGAATCCTGTATGAAAAGTAACAAAAGACAAACATGCTTGTTTAAATGATGAAGTGAAGAAGGCCATGGATGAGAATGAAATGCATGTAAGAGAATGGTTGCTGTAAAAAATGAGAATGAGAAAAAGATACTATACGATATGTAAAAAGAAAAAACAATTTAAAACCATGTAGTCCAAAAAAGACATGGAACAGCTAAGGTGAAAAGGGGAAGATAAAATGATTTTTATGAAAATTAGATAGACAGATAGACAGATAGACAGACAGAAACACAGAGAAAAGGACTGTGCAAGGGGTCTCCAGTAGAATGCACAGAATTAAAAATAAAAATTATTTGAAAAGAACTGAAGTAAATAAATACTGGAAATTATATTTTAGAAAACAGTATGTTAATAAATTTGTGACTATGTTTGGCATATCTTAAAGAGTGAGATTGATAATAAGCAACATGTGTGAAATGATATGAAATTCATGTTAGGTACAAATGGGTGCAAACCAGATTTCTGCTCTTTATCCAGTCATTCAGGAATGAACAAATGTGATAAAATTAGCTGTATGCCAATTGATGTGGAGAAAGCATATAATAAAATGAATAGGCTTCAATTATAGAATGTTTTATATAAATATGGAATTGAAATTAAGAGCTGAAGTGAAAACAAACACTCTATGATGGAAATTAATAAAGGAGAGGAGCAACCTAGAACTAAGGAGAAACTTCCTGACAATTAGAACAATTAACCAGTGGAACAACCTGCCTCCAGAAGCGGTGAATGCTCCAACACTGGAAGTTTTTAAGAAGAGACTAGATAGCCATTTGTCCGAAATGGTGTAGAGTTTCCTGCCTGAGCAAGGGGTTGGACTCAATGACCTCCACGGTCCCATCCATCTTTATTATTATTATTATTATTATTATTATTATTATTATTATTATTATTATTATTATTATTATTATTATTATTATTATTAATAATAAATGAAACTACACCTGAAGTTTTACAGGCCAAATATAGCAGTCCTAATTTTGAACCCAAGAATTTCAGAACTACACACTTTTCAAAAAGTGGAAATATATGCTGCAGTTAACTAGTTTGCACAAATACAGACCTTTCAACAGATTTTGCTGCCTCTTCATACCGTTCTTCACAGCAACACATTTTAAGTGCTAGATCAAACTCCTGAATCTGTTCAAAACATCTGGATGCATCCTTGTAGCACTGGCATCTCTTATACAAATATGCTGCCTGTTTTATCTGTATGATAATAATGTATGTTTTAGGTATACGGAATTGTTAGCAATAAAAAATGAACTAGGTTTACTATTATGAAGCAGAGAAAAAATAATAATTAAACATTTAGAGGAACACTCTTCCTGAATAAGAAGTGTCATGGCTTGTTTGTGCTGTTCTTATGATTGTTTACCACCCATTAAAAAAATCAAACCTCTCTCTCCTGTTCTTAGCACACTTCCCCTCAAATCTGACCTGGAGAATTTGGAATCCTGAAGAGCAGATTTAAAGGCAGAAAGTAAGAAACAAAACAGTGGTTCTGTTACAATGAACCAAAATGCATTTTCTTTTCACTAGATATAAAAATATACCTGCCTTCATTTATTGGTCTGGATTTCTTATTATCTTCTAAGAGAACAGTCAAGAAATATAAATCCTATCTGGGCATCCAACTCCTAATTTTTAATTCAGAAATCAGAGGAGCATTTGCATTTACCTTTCCACATTTTTCATAAATTTTTGCACACAGCTGGTATTCTTTTGCATGAAACAGGCATTTGAGTGCCAAATTTGGCTCAAAACATTCCAGGTAGGTTTTAGCCAGATTTAGGTATTCCATTTGCTTCTCTCTATTAATGAAAACCAAAATAAACATTTTAAAATTAGAGTGCCAACCAACGAATGAATTCATTTTATTCCCTCAGTGAGATTTAATTCCTTGGTTGAAATAAAGAGGCCCTTATAGTTCATTTTCACATTGGTTAAGAATGTACTTTGCCTCCAATCCTATGGCTAGTTGGATAAATCAGATATAGGATCTCTTTTCTTACCAACAGGTATCATCTTCAGAAATGAAAAATTCCTGAAATATCAGAAAACGAAGAAAGAGGTTGAATATCTTTAACTTCTACCTGTAATCCTCAGCCACGAAGGCAGTGGATGTATTGCCTTTGATAAACAGGAAAGATGAAAAGAGGAAAAAACCCTATTCCTTGAGATCAGATACTACATATCAATAAAACAGACAATAACAAGCTGTGTGATGGGCTTATTTTTATTTCATTAAACCATTTATGTGCAGTGTTTTATTATCTATTTGAACTGTACTGATATACGTCAAACCCCACCAATCATCCCAATTTTCACATCTTCATGACTTTACCCTCAATATTATCTGGCAGCTCATGGAAATCCTATGTCTCACATTACTTATGTCCACTACCTAATCTCAAAGATATAATATTGCAAAAACTTTTGCTGTTCAATGCTAGTCTGCGTTCCCACAAGATTTCCATTCTGCAGTTAAAGGTTTTTGCTGTCTCAAGAATTCTGTCATCTAGCAAACAGAAATCTCTGCTCTGTTCTGTCCCTTTTATCTATCTACTTAGAGCCAACATTACTTATTTTATTCATGAGAGAAGGGAACATTTAAAACTCTTTTGTCTTAAGTGAAAATAGGCTATATGAAACTCCAGTGATGAATAGACTGGCAGTAAAAGTCTGACGAGGGAAAGAGACAGTAAGGAAGATGCTGAATAAATAAATATATGTGATTTTTGAGGAATAATCAATACACTTCTTATAAATCCAGTATTGCACAAAGACACACACACCCCCTTAACAAATTAGGTAAGACTTCATATAAAACTCTGCAACATTTTTTCTTTTTTAAAAAACACTTACTTCGGGTTGATTTTCTTTGACTGAACTGTAAGCACAGTATCATGTGCCAAAGCCAGTTTCTCTTTCTCGTGTGCTCCTCCCTGTTGATAGCATTTTGCAGCAACCTGAAATTAAAATAGCAATATAAAGATATAACAAATTTCAATCTTCTGATGTAGCTCAAGCAGCTATGAAGTAGCATCTTTCTAAGAAACCTGTACATTCCCACATCCATTTTCCTTCTATATATATCTCCTGGACAAACTCTACCACCCAATGATTTGTGCGAATGAACCTAGTTGACCAGTTTATTTACTAAGGAGGAAAATTCATCTGTTCTGATTCTCTCACTAGACCACTAACATTAGATACTATATTTCTGGAGAGAAAATAATCAGTCTCCACTGCTTACATAGCGGAGTAATGACAAAAATCTTGCTCATTGAGAAATCAGGATATGCCTTGGAAAAGTGGGGAATCTCTTAGGAATATGTGATGCTTGCCAAGAAAGAAGCAAATAATGGAGACTGATGATAAGACGAGCAACTTGTAAGGGAGTTCAAACTATGAGATGGTTAATTGCTGTATTTTAATATAAATTCTCTAAACTTGAATATATAGAGTTCCATCCATGATGGATGAATGGGCAGAAAGACATATAGATACAGATGATGAATTATTAATATTGTCTAAATAAACTAAATATAAAGGCAATAGTCTGTAATCCTTTTCAAAAATATTTCCCAAAGAGCTTCTTCAACAGTTCAACACTTCTAACGGTTTTAATCACTTCTAACGGTTTTAATAATTAAAAAGAGTGATTAACCTTCAAGGTGATTCAACTCCTGGTGGTTTCTTGGATATATTTTTCTTGGCAAGACAATGGAAATGATTTGGTATTGCTTCCTTCTGTATCCCATGGATACAGGGAAATATTCAGTATTTAAATCAATTTCTTTTGTGCTTGCAAGGAGCTGAATCATATCTTTCAATTTGTTTTTTCTTAAGCTACAGTATATATATCATTTATGCCAGTGAGATTTGGAAGGTGCCAGCAAGTATTAACAAGAGATCTGATGTCTTCCAACAAAGATGCCTTCACCGAATCTTAAAGATTCCCTGTTTTGACCATGCTGTTAACAAAGAAGTGCTCCAAAGGAGTTTCTCCTGTAAATTATACAACACTATCATATGCAAAAGACTCCAACTTGCAGATAATATTCTCTGCATGGTGAACAATTGAATCCCCAAAATGGCAATGAGATGGACCCACTGACCCCCGATGGCAAAAAAACCAAGAGGACACCCTCGAAATATATGGTGAAAAACGTTCATGGAAGTTTCAAAGACTCTAACCATCATTATTGAGTTTATGTATTTAAAAAGGTCTGAATTCAACTTAGTGTTATTCCTTTCAATTCACTGAAAGTCTTTTAAAGACGCCTCTGAATTTACCTTCCAACACTGATGTCTAGCATAATATTCTCCTTGTGCAATCCATTCTTCTGGAGTTGATGTTTTAACAAACATACTATCCTCAAATTCTAAAAAGAAAGGTACAGATAGAAGAATTGTTTAAACATGAGGAAAAGAATTAATGAGTTTACTCTGTATGTACTAATTGTATATATACTAACTGTATATACTACTCTGTATATACTATCTGGCGTATTTCAGTTAAATTAGATATCCCTCAACCTTGACTACATAAAGAATAGAAGCCTGAAAATGGCTCCAGCACGGAGACAAATCCTCTGTGTCCTGGTGACCGACCCAGATTGGATCCTACAACATTGTCCTGGGACACATATATTCACCTTCATTCGTAATAGAAATCTCAACTTGGATGAGGAATACTTTTATTTATATTCTTAACTTTAATCCTTAATCCATAAACTGGGTATAAGAGAGGGTTCCAAGAATTTATCTTCTGTGAATATATTCATATTATATTATAACAAAGAAGGTCTTCTACTAAAAATGCTGCCTAGTCTTCATCTGATTAATTGTTTTCCAAAAATGAATTCTGCAGCTCTTAAGATTTGATTTTGGAAAAGGTTTAAATATCAATTATTTTGGCACTGAAAATGTTAATTGTTGTATGTCCTTTGCCTCAGGTTGTGGAATTCAAGGCAAGAATATGGGTCTTTACAGTTTTCATTTATACATATATGTCTTATACAAATCATATGCATATGGAGTTGTGGAGGCCATCACCCTGCTCCCCCCTCCTACTGACACCAACTCACACCGATGTCCTCCCTGCTCCCAATGCCCTGGCCCCCCACTGCTAATGCCATGGGCTGGACAGAACAGCTGGGGCCAGATGTGGCCCATAGGCCATAAAATGCCCACGTCTGCTGTGGGTCTTCACTGCAAATCTGGTTTTCAAAAGGTTTTGAAGCGAGAATGGCAATAAGAGGCAAACATTAAGACCTCTCCAACATGAAAAACAGCCCCAAATCATGCTACATTTTTTTTTTTACTTTTTGTGGACTTCATGAAATATCAGGCATTTTATTTGTAAATTTTGATGGTGTGTTCATTCTCAGAGCTTGGGGGAATTGCAAGAGACTACAGGCCTAGCTTCACCCTTCCTTAATCAGTGCTTCCTAACAGACGTTTGGGATTCCTCCTCATTTGGGATGCAGTTAGTGAGGTTGGTTTCAAAGTTTTCTTGTAAATGCACAAAAACCTAACATAAAACTGAAATTATTAAGTTAAATTCTTTGAAAATCATTAGACTAACCTTAACTTAGGATAAATACAATTTTGAGCTAAGTTTGACTCTTGATGACTTCCCAGTACTTTTTTCAGATTGCTTTTCTTCAACTTTGCAATCTATCCAACAATCTGGAATTCCTGAATAACTGCCTGTTCAAGTATTAAGTGAGACCAAGACTGCTTAGCCTCTGAGATTAATCACAACTAACTAGAAGTTTTCACTTACTGAGTCAGCCATCGGCAAAGAAATAAGTGAACTGACCTTCAGTGTGACACATTTAAATACAATTGACAAGAGTGATTGCATATTTTTGGCAAAAACAAAGTATATTTCAAGGACAAGCTAGTGCAGAGTTTTGTGAAACAGTTATATAGAACTTACTTTTATTTTCATCCTTTTTGACAACCTGAACAAATTCTCGTTTGATAAAATATTGAAATGCAGGGGCCCGCCTATCACAGTTTTCATCAAAAATCCACAGATTTACTCTGGCTCTTGTGATAGCAGTATACAACTGCTTTAGCTCTCCATTAAGCATCTAGAAAAAGAATGATTCCAGTTCAAGGATTAATTCTCTGTGGGGGCACTTTAAGATGGGCACCGCAATGTTTTAAGCTTTAAGCAACAAGAAATTACGTGTGTTATGTGTGTTTATGACACAATTTTCAATGCAAGGAACAAATATCAGCTAAATTCTAATATATTATCAAAATACTATTTCACTGTACTTATCTTTACTCATCAGTTACCATTATATAAACTGCAAAACAGAGGATGTAAACAGGAATTATTTCCACACAAAAGTTTGACTTTTGTTTGACTCATACTAAGGACTGTTCCATTATGCCATTATTTTCATGCCAGTTGATAGTAAGAGCATTGTTGACTTTAAAAGTTGGCAATGTATTTTCTCTTTTGCTCTGTTTACATCCCTTTCTTTTATATATCAGGTTATTTTATACTATAACCTAAGAATACAATGAACATTTTCTTAAAGAACAAACTAAAACATCCTAGATAAACAAATAAATAAAATAATACTTTATATTCATCTTCTTGACTATTCAGAGACTCTCCTTAGAATCTTTTTTTGCATTCCTGTGTTTCATTCAGAGTTCAGTCACAACAGATTTCAGCTTTATATATTTATTCTTTAATTTCAATGAATTAACTCAACCCCATCCCTAAAATTGAAGATTAACTATTTGAACCCTAACTATAAGTTGATTTGATATACAAAAGATACCAATTTAAAAAATGGATGTGCACTGCAAGGGGCATTACAAGTAATCTTTAACTTATAACCGTGGTGGCAAACCTATGGCATGCGTGCCAGAGGCGGCACGAGGAGCTGTCTCTGGTGGCACGGGAGCCGTTGCTGGGCCGAGCTGCTCCCTCCTCCTCTCTGCGCATGTGCAGCTTTCCACAGAGCTGCACATGCACAGCTCTCCGCACATGTGCAGTCTTGGAATAGGCAAGAGGCTATAAAGGGAGCAACTTTCGGTGGAAGCAGGCACGGAAAGCGAGGCAGCAGCCCTATGTGTGTCCCCATGCACGAGCGTGCCCCTGCCCTGCCAGGCAAGCAGAGCCGCAACATCTTCGGCAGAAGAGCACAGGCGGGCAGCGGAAGGCACGAGGAGCCCCAATCCCAGCACAGCCCCTCCTCGGAAGAGCTGCTGGGCTCAGCAGCCTCCCCCATGCCCCCCTATCCACTGAGCAAGATGTCTTCCTGCCCACTGCCCCACCCGCCAGAGTAACATCAAGTTGGCCACGCCCACCATGGCCACGCCTACCTAGTCTACCATTTCCACCATAGCCACGCCCACCCAGCACCCGGCGATACATAAGTGGGATTTGGGTTGTAGTTTAGGCACTCGGTCTCTAAAAGGTTTGCCACCACTGACTTATAACCATTCAAAATTACACCAGTGTTGAAAAAAGTTATTTTTTACAATTACTGTTAACAAATCAGCAGCATGATATGATTATATTTGATTTCTGTTTCCTGCACAAAATACATTTGCATTTGCTTCTGTTACATTTCAAACTGTTATTTTCAACCAATTTCTCCAAATTATGGTCATTTTAATTTTTACTTCTATCTTTCAGGGTAATTAGCTATTCTATCCAATTTTATATCAGTTGCAGAACTGATAAGCAGCTTCCTCTACTTCTCCATCCAAATAATTAATAAATACATACTGAACAATAAAATACTGTTTAACATGTCTCTTCCATCTGATGAGGAATCATCTGATGATAAATATTGAGTACATTTTTAACTAGCTAATCCATACAATTATGCTTACACCTAGTCCAGGGGTAAGCAACCTTGGCTCTTTTATGACTCGTGGACTTCAACTCCCAGAATTCCTGAGCCAGCACAGCTGGCTCAGGAATTCTGGGAATTGAAGTCCACGAGTCATAAAAGAGCCAAGCTTGCCTACCCCTGACCAAGTCCATACTTTACTTTGTGTATCAGCATGATATGGAATATTCTGAACATTTAGATGTTTTATCTGACAATCACCTTATACATTTCTGGATTTAGAACTGAATGTCTTCTTTTTGCAACAACATCTTTCTCCAAGGGTACTTCGATTATTGGCTTGGTTTCTTGATCAGGCAAATCAGTGTGAGGTATAAAAGAAGAAATTACTTTCCATTCTTTGTAAGCCTAAAAATATAAGGAGTATTTTTTTAAAAAAATTAAACAATGATGGCACAACTGCTCACAAATGTTTGGAACAAATTAATTTTAGAAAGGATCCCAAACAATTGAAAGATAGCTATTCTATTAAAACCATTTAATAAATAGAAATTAATCAGCAATATTTTTCTATTTCTATTTCTTCTATGCCACTAGTTTTGAAGAGATGTATAAACTATTTAATTTCTTTCCAAATGTAGATAATGTTGTCTAGTCTCTGTAGCAGAACACCCTTAAAAAGATCTATTGTATATGATTATTAAAATTCACCCACTGATTCTGACATAATTTTTACATAATAAAATGAAGAACATACTACAAGGGATTAAAGTTGAAAGAACCATTTATTGATTATTAATATTTTTAAAACTATCATTGGAATAGTATGCTTTCTGTATTTTGATCTAGTGCATTTTGCTCTAGTAGTTAAGGCACCAGGCTAGAAACCAGGAGATTGTGAGTTCTAATCCCACTTTAGGCATGAAAACTGGCTGGATGGTTAAGGCCAATCAGCTCAACACACCTCAGAAAGTCATTGTGGGGAAAATAAGAGGATGAAGGAACAGTCTTCTGCTTTGAGTTATTTATAAAAAATATAAAATCAGGATAAAAAAGTTTAAATAAAGTCTTTTTTGTCCTCTGGTAGAAAGATTGTGAAGGCTATAGCTCCAGGTGTTCTTAGAGGAGATCCTTTCTACATCTTTCACAGTCTGAGTTTAAACTTAGATTTGGTATAGACATAGCCCTCTTCTCCTGATGGGCAATCTGTACTTAGACAAACAAAGAATGTGCTTTCCTGTTAACCTTCTAGATGTTTTGATACCACAGATCACAGTATCTTGATGAAGCGTTTTGGGAATTAGAAGTTAGAAACACTGCTTTTCAATAATTCTTTCTGAGTTTTACCAGATATAGTTTCAGAAGACAATTCCAGTTTTTCAGAATTACCCTAAAGATTTTTGTAATATTGTATCCTGTCTTCCAGGTTATTTAATGTTTATATGAAACTTTTGAGAACGATCACTCGTGATTTGGAGATAGTTGCCAAATGCTAGTGAAACTCAATACTTGGTAGTAAAAGATTATATGAGGAACAACGAACTAAAACTGAATCTGGTTGCAGGTAATATTGCTGCGGCCATTTGTCCGAAATAGTGTAGGGTTTCCTGCCTGAGCAGGGGGTTGGACTCAATGATCTCCAAGGTCCCTTCCAACTTTATTACTATTATTACTATTACTATTACTAGTAGTAGTAGTAGTAGTAGTAGTAGTAGTAGTAGTAGTAGTAGTAGTATTAAAAGGATGGACTTGAGGATAAAGATAATATTACTGTTTTGTATAGAGCTACAAACTCCTAAAAAGCAGAGTTGACAATCTGGAGTTTTATGTAACCACACTTACAACGTACTTTGGTGTGAAGGACTTTTATCATCTTTGACTATAAAACCAATTACATTCCTTTCTGAAGAACATATGCATTAATAATAATAATAATAATAATAATAATAATAATAATAATAATAATAATAATAATAATAATAATAATAATAATAATAATAATAATAATAATAATAAAGTTGGAAGGGACCTTGGAGGTCATCTAGTCCAACCCCCTGCTCAGAAAGGTAACACTATACCATTTCGGACAAATAGCTGTCCAGTTTCTTCTTAAAAACTTCCAGTGTTAGAGCATTCACCACTTCTGGAGGCAGGTTGTTCCACTGGTTAATTGTTCTAACTGTCAGGAAGTTTCTCCTTAGTTCTAGGTTGCTTCTCTCCTTGATTAGTTTCCATCCGTTGCTTCTTGTCCTGCCTTCAGGCACTTTGGAAAATAGCTTGACTCCCTCTTCTCTGTGGCAGCCCTGCTATGATGTCTCCCCTCGTCCTTCTCTTCATTAAACTGGACATACCCAATTCCATCAACCTTTCCTTATATGTTTTAACCTCCAGTCCCCTAATCATCTTTGTTGCTCTTCTCTGTACTCTTTCTAGAGTCTCAACATTTTTTTTATATCGTGGTGACCAAACCTTGATGCAGTATTCCAAGTGTGGCCTTACCAAGGCATTGTAGAGTGGTATTAATACTTCGTGTGATCTTGATTCTATCCCTCTGTTAATGCAGCCTAGCACTGCGTTGGCTTTTGTGGCAGCTGCAGCACACTGCTGGCTCATATTTAAGTGATTGTCCACTAGGACTCCGAGATCCCTCTCACAGTTACTACTATTGAGCAAGGTACCTCCTATACTATACCTATATATTTGGTTTTTCTTGCCTAACTGTAGAACCTTACTTTTTCACCATTGAATTTCATTTTGTTAGATAGCGCCTAGTGTTCAAGTCTGTCCAGATCCTCCTGTATCCTAAGCCTGTCTTCTGGAGTGTTGGCTATTCCTGCCAGCTTGGTGTCATCTGCAAATTTGATGAGTTCCCCATCTATCCCCTCGTCCAAATCATTGATGAAGATGTTGAAGAGCACTGGGCCCAGAACAGACAGCTTGGTGTCGTCTGCAAATTTGATGAGTTCCCCATCTATCCCCTCGTCCAAATCATTAATGAAGATGTTGAAGAGCACTGGGCCCAGAACAGAGCCTTGGGGCACCCCACTAGACACTTCATCCATGTAGATGTGGTTCCATTGAGGACCACACGCTGAGTAGGGTCGGTCAGCCAGCTACGGATCCATCTGGTGGTGATGCTGTCTAACCCACATTTTTCTATCTTATCAAGTAGTAGGTTGTGATCTACTTTGTCAAATACCTTACTGAAGTCCAAGTAAATTATATCCACAGCATTCCTCTGGTCCACTAATTTTGTCACTTGGTCAAAGAATACAATAAGGTTTGTCTGGCATGATCTATTTTTGACAAACCCGTGTTGGCTTTTAGTAATGATTTGGTTTGCTTGTAGGTGTTCGCTGATTGATTATCTTTTCCAGAATCTTCTCAGGTATTGAGGTCAGGCTGATAGGTCTGTAATTTCCTGGATCCATTTTTTCCCCTTTTTTGAAGATGGGAACTACATCAGCATTGATGTCCTCAAGACTGGATTATTATAATAAATTGTTACTGAGATAATCTTTAAAGAAAAATCAAAACTGTAATTGGCAGCAGAGAAGGTGAACAGCCCTTCTAAAAAGATCACATTACCTGTGTTAAAAAAAACACTGCATTTACTCACCTGGATAGCTTTCCTATACTGGATTCGCAAGAGACTTGTAAAAGTTTTGAAGGATTTTGTGAGAAGGGACAAAGATAAAATCAAAAGTAATCAACTCCTAAGACATTATTTGAAGGGATTAAGGATCACAATAAAAATAAAAGAAAGAAATATAAAGTTAATTTATTTATTTGATCACAGTAAAAATAGATATACTGTATTGTTATTTCTGATTTACCTTAAAAGACTTTGCTGATCAGACTGAATTATGAGTCTTTAAGGATGTATTTATAGATAAGACTGGAAATATTTATTATATTTTAAAGGAAGGTGATAAGTTATTAAAATTGTTTATATTTGTAAAGTAGGAAGTCATTCCTTTTTTCTTTACTGTATTCTTATTTTTCCTTTTGTTTTTGTTTCTATTTTTCTCTTCTTTTCTGCATTATTTCTTCTTATTTTTAGTTAATATTAGTTTTTATCTTTTTAATTGTAATATTTAATAAAATTACTATAAAAAAGAAAAAACATATTAATTGTAAATCCAATTCCAGATGATTACTACAGGTTAGAAAACTTTATGAATAGTAGTTCAAGTCCCAATTGTCTGCTGGATTTTTCACATATTCATATTATACAAAGACTGCCACAGATCAATAATTAATTTTATTTTTCTGTGGCAGATTTGAGTTACAGAAACTACCATGAGAAATCAGATAGGCTGCTGACTTATTATATTTTATAAGAAAACTAAGTGTGCATCTTTTCATGTCTGACTTTTAGAGCTTTATGGTTTTTTTTAAATTATGTTGGATTTTATTACTATTTTTTATTATATTTTGACAGGCTGTATTAGATCCACTGGGTGCGGATAGTATACAAATTTGCAAAATGAAGAAATAAATACTATTTCTGTCTCAAATGATAAGTGCTTATTCCCTTATTAATGTATCCAAAGTATCCAAAACAAGAGGTATGAGGTCACATCTCTATACTATCCTAAGCCTTCCAATTCAAGAAAGTTATAATAGTTAAGAAGTGTAAAATAGTAGCATGTCACAAAAATCAAACTAGAATGTGATAGTATTAAGACAGTACTGTTTCTATACTATGTAAAAGAAAATTAGATATCTCCAGATTCTCAGTAATTTACCTACCTCTGAATCTGTAAAAAAGTTGTAAAGGAGCACATCATCAAATTCCAAGCCTTTTGCTTCATAGATTGTTAGCACAAGGGCCAAGTTAAGCTCCTCGGGGATATTTTTCTTGGTCCTTTCACTAGCTACCAGTATTGCCTATACCAAAATAGGGAAAAAAGAGTGTCAAAGAATGGACAAAATCAGATGGACAAAAAACTAATTTGTTGTACTTATTAAGCAGACAATAAAGAACCAGATCAATCAAGTGACATAAATACCATAAATACTGTTCATGCAAGTTATGCGAGGTTGAATGCAGAAACTGAAATTACGATCACATTTTTATTGGCTTCCATTCCTTTAATATTCTGACCTTCAAACTATAACTGTATGACAAGGTGCATTTTGTACACTACAGTTATCTAGTTTACAGGAGGTAAACTGTAATAAAAAAAACATTTTTTTCATTAATAATAAAATCCCAAGTATTTCATTTTGCTTGAAAAAGATCTAAACTGGTATTAATGAAATTACTATCTGAACGTTGTAATTTACAAAGTAATGATAATATTAGAGATGACAGGAAAAAAAGTGAATGGTTGTTATATGTATTAAATCAGAAATTACCTAAAGAATTTCCTATGCTTCCTGCCCCACCAAAGGCTTACCTGGTGGGCTCCAAATTCTATTGGCTGTGTTTTTCTTTTATTGCCTTTTAGCAAAATTGCCAGATCACTAACACTGCAAGATTCCAACACAGTAGGCTTAGGTCCATCAAAGAGACCTCTATCTCTAGGAAGACGATCAAAAGATTCTGGGAAATACCACTGAAGCAGATCAACAACTCCTGAGGCTAAATTAAGAATCCCTGCAAACAAAGAGCAGCAGGCAGAATTAGCACATCAACGCAGTCTCTCTCATGTAGGAAAAAAAACAAAAACCAGTAATGGAAAGCAATTTTGACAAATTGGTAAATATCTGATTTTAAAAGCACAAACAGAACAGGAAAGAAAATCTTAGGACTACAGTCTATAAAGTGTTGAGTTGCATATTTCTTTTCCATATTTCTAAATGTTTCTATAATTACATGGATCCCATGAGTATATCAGTGCAAAGAAATGGGGAATATCTGAATTGGTGCTGTCACTCAGCTGCTCTGAAGTCTTAAGACAGCAGTAAGTTAGACCTTTAGTCTGTACAAACTGCTGATAGCTATTCTCATAGGAAGGAGCTTTTTAGAGCCTCAGACATTTAAACTGGAGATATTAAAAGATAAACCTGGGAATTTCTACATTTCACTCAAGAAGTCCATAGTACAGAGTTTGTACATTATTAAGTTTGTAATAATGTACAAACTGTTACTTCAGTCTATAAAACTAGTATCTTAAAACTGCAGGCAGATCTGATTTTAAGAAATAAAAGAACATACATTTTCAATACAGGTATCCTCAGGTCAGAATGAGACAACTTCCTGTCGCCAAGTCACCACAGCCAATTTGCCGTGGCCAGCTTGCCACAAGACAATTTGCCATGGCCAACTCATCACAGGACAATTCAACAATTCAATTTAATTATTTAAAATAATTAAAGAATTATTTTAATTTTTGTCATTCACCTTTCCCTTTTGAATGTCCTTTGGCATCCTTTCTTTAATGATTCTATTTCACCATTTCTTGGTATTAATGTTAAGTCTTGTGCCACGGCAAGTTGTTCCATGGTGAGTTGGCCACGGTGAGTTGTCCCATGGCGAGATGGCTGTGGTGAGTTGGCCACGGTGAATTAGCTACAATGAGCTGTCCTAGATTCTTCTCAGATTATGACCATTCATTCAGCACCATTCAAAATTATGAATTCACTGTATGAGTGATACTTAAACTATGCTTCAGTATTTTAGCCACTACACCTTCCATGGTCATGACTGCAATCCAGGTGCTCAGAACCCAGCTTTCAATTATGATTCTAGCAAGCCATGGTTATGTGTTCATGATTTCTAATATTCCCTACTAGCTTCCACAAGCAAAGTCAATGGGGAAGCTGGCAGGAAGTTGGAAGTTGTGGTTACATAAGATCCTCACGTACCCCCCCCCCATGTATCTTCACTTAATGACTGCTATTCTAGAATGCTGTTGCTAGCAGTGCAATCACATGACATTATGTTTTACAACTGCATTGCTTAGCAATGGCAATTGCAGCTCCAATTGCCATTGTAAGCTGAGTCTAAATTATTATTTTTTCCTCCAAAACCATAACTAAATTTTTCAGGCCTTTGTCTCTCCAACTCACCCCATTACCATACCATAAATACAGACATGTGTATATCAAATAATAAGATAACAATAAAAGTATGATACCTGAATGAGATCTGTAATTCTGATAAAGCTCATATATCCTTCTTGGCTTTCTAACCAAATACTGCTTGTCACTAGAACTTAGGCTGGCATAGTGAAAAAGTGATTTCAAATCACTGAAACGAAAAGCTACTCCTTTCATAATGCCCTGAGCAGTATCACCAGTCAAGAACATTGCATTAGGATCCTCAATGCAATTCATTAGCAACATTATTTCTGCCTGAGTGAAATCCTGAATTTCATCCCCATAAAGTTCATGGATGCACCATGGCAATTCACCAAGTTTTGAAAGCTGCTGAGACAACTTATACAGTAAGTCTTCTTCATCAAAGTAATTTCCCTGTGATTTTATTTGCTGATACAGGCAAAAAAGTCGGTAGATTTCACCACGGTCTTCTTTGAAATCTGGGGACCTTTTTCGTCCTAGATTTTTATATTCTTCCATCGTCAGTATGCCTTGGTAGCTGTTCAGAGCTTCAAAAGAGCCTTTCAGAAATGATTTTATTTCTTTCCAAATCAATGCTGGGTTATAGGCACATTTGCTTTTGACCATTTTAGGCCAAATTTCATCAGCAAATATGTTATAAGTCACAAAGATTCGAGGGTCACACTCTTTTGTATAACTTTCTGTAGCCTTTTCATCTTCATCATAATCTATTTCCCCATCAATGTCTTCATCTTCTTCTTGCCAGTTTATGATTGCCAAGTCTTCTGTAGTAGACCATCCATCAACAATATGTTTAAGGCTTCCATCCTCATTTCTGGGGAAAAATGGCTCAGGCACAGAGGCATCCAGTAAGAGCAACAACTGTTTGGTGGTAAGGAAGAGTGGAAAATTTTCATTTTTGATATCCTGAAGCCTGTAGATATTCGATTCAAGTGGCTTGAAGTGACAGGTTGCCTTGGAAGACTTACTAAGCTCAGTGAAGTTTCTCTTAACTTCTTGGCACAGAACATGATTTTTAGTTAAAAAGATTTGATGCAGGTGCACTAGTTTGACAGATTCTTCCTCAACAGGTTTCTCACCCTCATCGCATTCACATAGTGAATTCATTGAGTCCACTGAAGTCAAAGTGTCACACTCAACTTCATTTTCTTTTTTAGCACTATGCATATTGAAAGAGGTTTTCAAGTCTGTCAAATGATCAGGATCACTACCGAGTTCACTTTTATCATGATTTATGTCTGCTACGTTCTCATTTCCCAGACGTGTACTGTATTTTAATCTGTGCCACGTCTGTCTGACTAACAATGGGCCTCCTGCTAACTCTGCTTTCTCCCAATAGGAACTGAATTTTTTCCAAAGTCTATATAGACAACATGTAGTTTTTCCTGTTCCACTCCGCCCAATCAAGATTATTGGCTCCAACGGTTTGAGGTTCAAGTCAATAACTGCATATTCTAATTCACCAACTCTAAAGGGATATTCAACAGTAGAAGTTACATCATTTAGGATGTTAAATGCCATGTTAGTACTGAAACTATGAAACTTCATTACATTGTACTCAGTTTCAACTGTACTTGCTGGGTGGAAATATTCAAGAAGTGCATGATCTTTCACTTTTTCTGTTTTGGTGACTTCCACATAAATGAGAGGAATACGCTTTTGTGTTTTCAGATTAGAAGATATGGAGCCTATATTTATACCTTTCAGTTTTTTTCTCAGGATACAATCCAGCCCACGATTGTATGCAATGCAAACAATGTCAATGGCACGGCTGAGTTTGTCATGATCAAGAACAATATCCCACAGGCGAATTATTTCTGTATAAACTCTTCCATTTTTTTCTGCTGAGCTGCAAGCATCATTTTCTGTTATTTTAATTTGTCTTTCACTGCAACGAGGAGAAAAATCTACTGCCAACTCCCACAGCATCCTTGACCCCTTGGACAACTTTGCTTCATAGAGCTGAATGTCACCTTTCAAATGTTTCAGATGCTTTTGAAGACTTTGAGTCCATTCTCCATTTCCCAGTTGCTGAATAACAAACATTACTCTGTTTTTTATTTGGCGAGGCATGCTTTTGTCATTCAGCTTCTTTAGCATTTCAGATGTACACTCAATTTCCCATGTCATGTTATCAAAGTCCTGAATGTACATCTCTACATCCTGGAACTGATCATCGTCCTGAATAGGTTCTTCCCCTTCCTGTTTGCATTCCCTGGGTTCTTTCTGGGCTTTTTCCTTCAAGTCATTTTTACTCAGGCAAGCATCCTTTTTACTGTAAGCTATCTTCTGCTGGCCACAGGACTTTTTATGTTTGATCTCCTTGATTTCAGTTTTTGCTACTGAAGATAACTCCTTAGGTTTCTCAAATGTCTCTGAATCAATTTTTCCTGAAAATTCACCAAATTCAACTTTTTGCATTAGCAATGTGATTTCCTGCAGAATACATTCTTTCTGTGTCAGTAGCCTATCCTTGAATGAATCATGTTCTTTTTCTGTATCTGCATTTGGTTCCTTGATTAATGATATTTCTATAGATGTCGCATTTGATAATGTGATTGAAGAATGGGCAGAATTTTTTGTTTGTGACCTGTTTAAACCTGCAGTGGATTTTTGTCCCATTGCATCATATCGGTATCTTTTCTTGTTTTCACTTAGAGCGTCATTCCAAGCAATAAGCATTGGGTCATTCTTTTTTATTTTGTACCGTATATCTCTGCCTAAATTATTTTTCAAATTAAAGTTAATATCAAATTTTGCTAGCAAGCCTAGAACTTTTGTAATCTGCTTTGTCAGATTTTTCTGAAAGACAATGTGCAATATTGTGTCCCCGTTTTTGTTTTGGGTATTTGGATTAAGATGTGAAAATGTGGATGGATTTGACTTGTACAATTTTAGAAGATGACTCAGGATACTGATCCCAGCATCATCTAGAGAAAAAAAAAGGCAAGCATTTTTTAAATTATTATTTTTACAGTATATTTAAATGAGAATTATTTTCTCTTCTATGCAATGCTCAATAGTTCGTAACTATTTCTTTTAAAGTAGTTCACTACTTATATAACCTGTTCTCTCCTCTAAGTTAGCTACAGGATTCAACTAGAACTATCCAGTCTAATCAAAGATTTTATTCCAGGATAAGGATTAAGGAACAATAACAAACAAAACTCAAGCTTCATAGTATTTAGCTAAATAGCATTTTAGAAATTTGCAATAAATCTTTTTTTATATTCTTTTTGTCTTACAGCTTCTTCTGGTATACATACTATTCTGAAATCTCTCCTCTACCCAAAATCTGGGATAGATTTTAGGCAGCAGGTAGCATGAGGGAAAACAAATTAGAATAGATGCTTCACACAAATGTTTATCAGCATGAAATATTAATCAATATGAATTAATGCTTCCCACTTCCTTAAAATACAAGCAATTTATATGATGGGATTTGGCCTTATTTCCTGTTCTAGATGCTTCTTTCCATTTTACCATGGCATAAAAGAAATGGAAAATTTCTATCTCCTAAAAGATTGATTAAATTTATAGAACACAGGAGATGGCACTATAATATCTTTTATCTTTTAATCCCCACATAGCACCAAAGGGTATGAGAGGGTTACGGAATGCATATGAAATATGCCAGGAAAGGAAAATTACTTTAAACTATGAGGAATATAAACCAAAGTATTATGAACCAGACTCTCCATAGACATATTTCTCCCTGCTGCCTATCATCCCCTTGTTACACAAAAGAGAGAGAGGTAACCTGGAAACTTCTATAGGCAAGCCAATTGTTTTATTATTGAAATGCAGAATTTTGACATTCCCTTCCTACAGGTCATATGAGATATCTTGATGGGAATGATGAAGGGGATGGTAACAGGATGATGTTACATATGTTTGATAGTTACCTAATCCATCTCTTTTGACTCAAGGCAAAATCTCACCTTTTTTATCAAGATAAATTGACAATGCAGAATGTAAAGGCGTGTCATTTCTCCAAATGGATAAACAACTAGGATCTGCGCCAGATTTCAGGAACAAATATGCCAATTCAAAATCATTCTTTTTTAAACATTCCAGAAGCGGTTTCTCCTGAGTAGTTCCAATCCCTTCAGGTGGGGCTGCATAAGAAATACCATAAACATATATATGATATAACAGAATAACACAGATATGTCAAACATAAGGCCCGCGGGCCGCATCCGGCCCAATATGTGGTTCCGTCCGGCCCAGGGACCTGCTCTGGAAAGAGCAAAGGACTGGTCCGCCGTACCTCAGCCCAGCCCAGGCTGACCAGGCCCTGATCTACAACCTGGTTGCGTCCATCAAAGCCAGACGCACTCAGCCTTAAATCCACGGGGAAGCCCCGCTCTGTTTCCTGGGTGTGCACGCAAGCGGAGTACGGCGTCCCTGCTGGCTATCTTGTCCTGCAGGCTGACTTCACCCAGGACGCTGGTGCTGGCCGTCTCCTGTGCGCATACCCGGGGAGCGGGGCAGAGGTGGTGAATCTTAGTCTGAGCGTGTTCTGACTTTGATGGACGCAACCAGGTTGCACCATCCCCACCAGCACCACCAGCCTCGCAACCACGAGGCTTTCCTTTCACTGGGACAGACCCCCCCCACGCGGGATAGCAAGACTGGAGGCAACATGGCAGCACTGGCAATCTCTCCCACTCTCTCAGTGGCAAGTCATTCCACTGATTGTAATAGAATCACAGATTCAGAGCTGGAAGAGACCTTAGAGGCCTTCTAGTCCAATCCCCTGCTCAAGCAGGAAGCCCTATACCATTCTGGATAAATGTTGTCCAGTCTCTTCTTGAAAACCTCCAGTGATGGAGCATCCACAACTTCTGGTGGCAAACTGTTCCACTGGTTAATTGTCCTCTCTGTTAGGAGGTTTCTCCTTAGTTGCTTCTCTCCTTGAATAGTTTCCTGTCCTGCCTTCTGGTGCTTTGGAGAATAGGTTGACCTCCCCCTTCTTTGTGGCAACCCCTCAAATATTGGAAGACTGCTAGCCTCCAGCCCCCTAATCATATTTGTTGCTCTTTTCTGCACTCTTTCTAGATTCTCAAAATCTTTTTATTCTGGTTTATTTATAATACATAGCATTATAATGCCAGAGAGATCTGAAAATAAATTCAGATCATTATTTCAGCTGGTTAAGAAAAAAATCTTCAGCAAAACAAAAACAAAAACCAGAAGACATGAAACATTCAACAGTGTGAACTGCTACCAATGCATTTAGGCTAACACTCAAGTTTGAAATGAAGACAGGAAACATTCAACAGTGTGAACTGCTACCAATACATTTAGGCTAACACACTCAAGTTTAAATAACAGAGCTGTAAAAAAAAATTCGATTGTTCCCCAGAAGAACCTAGTTACTTTTCAAGCAGAAGATAAAAGCTACCAGATCTTAGCTGCAAAACTGAAAACCACTAGGTGGCAGCAAGAATTCAGATTTTGCACAACTCTTTGTTACCATTTAGTTATTGCCTAGATTTTTGTAATTCAGAGCTGGTAATTCTATAAAATAATACTTACAGTAGAAGCTGATACACTACCTTGCAGCTGATTCTGAGTACAGGTATGGTGTCAAAGGAATTTCAAAACAATAAGTTTTGAATAATAACAACAAGTAGGGAAGAAAGATTATTCTCTATCTTAAGAGGAAAAGGAAACATTGGGGGAGATGGGAAAGATGGAGAGGAAGAGGAAAGATTGAAAAAAGCTGATATTCCTCCTTTGGGATTAATCTTATTCATTAGAATTAAGTGCTCTCAGTAATCTTCTCTCATTAGTTTAACTTCATTTTCAAAACTTTTAACTACCAGTATCAAGTCATCCATTCTTAACAATACTAATTGCTCACTGTAATACAACTCAACTTAGTTTGATTGTATGACCTTAAATAAAATATTTTATCTTAACTATTTTATTTGGCAATTCCTGATTATATGGAGTTCTAAAGAAAAATACCAAGAATTTTTCAACATACATAAATGAAAATATCAAATCGTTTAAAAAAATTTTTTTTTTATTTTTCTTCACATGCAAATCTAGATTTTCAATATATTAAAAGCTCACCTCCTCTTTCTATCAAGCATCTTATGAGCTGTACTCGATGCTTATGATTCTTATTTATGTTTTTCAAGACAGTTCCAATGTCCACGTCTGAGAGAGAACAGTTCTTAAGTAATCTATCTCCCGGTGTCATTTCCCCTGTGGCCTTTCTGGTCAACAGTAACAAAACTTCATGCCACATATGCTTCTCCAACAATAACTTTATAAAGCCATTGGCACAAATAGGAGAAATCTCACAGGCAAGGTTTTCAGGAATCTCTGAAATAAATTAAAGTTTAAAAAAGGAACTATCAGGCACAGATAATTTGATCTCACTTGCATAATATATACATTCTCTATTTAGTCCACATATAGTGATCCTGGGTTGTTGCAGCTTTAATGCTATTTATTTAATGATTCCTACCATGCATTGCGGAACAGCATTTTTCAATGAAAGCAGAAGCCCTATAACTTGTTCAAATAATACAGTGAAGATGTAATCATGATTCCCTTCACGAATGAAGACAAGTCAGCCTTAGTAACAATTTATCTTTTCCTGTCAGCTTTAAGTTTAGCTCAGTATACACTTTCATAATATAGCTGGATGTTGTATCTGTTTCAAATGTATCAGCCCATAAACCTGTTCTTGGGATCTTCATCATCTCCTACCTCCTCTATCTGAATTCCAAGATGTAGCTGATTCATGCTAGTGAAAATTTGGAACTGGAAATAAGGCGCTACTGTCTGTTTAACTCTGCTCTGGAATCTAAGGTAGAATACAGAAGCTTCATTGCCTAGGACTGGGCTTTTAAATAAATGTTTCCTGTTTCCCCTTTTAACCAAAGTTTCAGGTCCAATCAGACTTGGAGAATGTAGTGTTAATATAGTTGAAGCAAAAGTTTTTTTAATATTATGTTTATTAATTTATTATTAAAATTTATTATTAAATTTATTATTAAAAAGTGTCCAACAACTGAAGCTTTCTGGATTGTTTACAATAAGAACATTAAAAATACAATTTGAGTATAATGTATACAATGCAATCAAAACAAAATTAAAACACAATATAAATTATGCAAATACAAAGCAGTCATTAAAAAAATGGAATAACTTGAATTGAAATATGATTAAAAGTCAATTAAAAAACTAAGGAAAATAAAAATGTCTTCAGTTGATGCTGAATGATGCCAACATGGGATTAGTTGATCCTCTATGGAAGGAATTCCATGAATGGGATGTGACAGAGAACGTTCTCTCATTTCTAGAGGCCTACTCTATACAATAACTATAGCAAAATAACTGCTATAATAAACAGCATACATGAAACTTAGATCTACAGAGTAACGCCAGGAAAGAATCACCTATATACAAATAAGCCCAACAAGTAGAGACAAAGAATGGGAATCATAAAACTATCTGTGAACACTACAAGAGATAGATAGCTTAGATGAAATTATTTACTGGGTATTTTCTTTCAGAATCCCAACTCAAAGCAAAAGTCACCAGAAAATGGCAAATCACCTTTGCAAACATAGAGATTTCTCCTAAAATTGTGTCTAACTCAGGGGTATCAAACTTCCAGCCCATGGGCCAGTTGCATCATATGGAGGCCATGCCCACCCCAGCTCCAGCAATGCAAAAAAAGTCGCAATACGTCATGACATGTCATGTGACATGGTGAGTTTGATACCCATGGTGTAACTATTCAACTGACTAATACTCTAGTTCTAATTCTCCTCTATCCTTTCTTGATGAAAACAACAATACAACTATATACAATAAATATGGAAGAAGTGTGGGAATAAAGCTTAAAACTAGCTGAAAGCAGTTTTATGCCATAAATATTCCACTGATACCTGAAAATGGGAAAAGTGGAATCCTATTTGTAAGATAGATAGGACTGGATTATGTTGTGAAAATAGTTAAAACAGCAAAGACAGATTTGTTTGATTAGTATGTGAAGAGTACAAATAAAGTATATGAGCCAAAAATAAGCATTATTTACAATAATGCTGAAGCCTACAAGATGGAAAGCACAAGGTCCCAAATCTGCTATCCTGAAAGTCTCCTGATCATCCTATACTTGTCTCACTATCACCGTATGCTTGGTAATTCCTACTAATATCACATCATTTAGGGCAGAAGGTAACCTAACATTTTGGGTACCAGGGACTGGTTCTGTGGAGAAAGGTTTTTCTGTGGACCGGAGAGTGCGTGGTTTTGTGTGCTGCCTGCATCCCACAGACAGGACTTTGCTTGTTTGTGTGGACCGGTTGTGGGCATGCTGCGGTCCAGTACCGATCCACGGACCGGGGGTTGGGGACTCCTAATCTAAGGCACATCTCACCTTACCCTTAGTGTGTGAAAGGGCTCTCACATTTTTTGCTGCTGTTCTAATAATCAGAAATTCAAATTGGAAAAACTGCTGGCTATGTAGCATAGAGACACAGTTACTAGAAGATTAGCCTAGTCCCTATCTCCCTAAAGTGTTAAATCAATGTCACAGAAAGTAAACAAAATCAAACATTTTTAAAAGAATAAATTATAACTACCTACTCCATCATTTTTTCTCTAAGAATTAAAATCCAGATATTGAATGTGGAAGGAAATTACAGTTATACTCAAATACATAATATGATAGCTTTTAAGAAATTAAGGCAAATTAAGAAAAAAAAAATAAAGAAATTGTAATATTCCTGATAACTAATGGAATAGATCATTGCCTCAAATCTCTGTAACACTGGGGAATTTCAGACTATAACAGATAACAAGAAGATCCTAAATAAAACCTAAATAAAAAAGATATTGATAACCTGCAAAAGAAGGTACAAAGGTTTCTTGTAGCTGATTTGGAGACCAAGATAATAATACAGAAGCAAAAGAACTTGACCTATGTAATAAAATAGCCTGGCACGAAAATAAAGTCGGTTGCTTAATAAGGCAACAAAATAATACTTTGGAGGTAGAGAAAGATAGATCCCATACAGTTAGAAAATATTACTAAATGGAAAAGGAAAAAAAGATAAGGAAATACAGCTATGTGAAACTTTGTATGCTGCAAATCTACAACAATTTCTACTTCAACAAGCAAAACTGATGGGAGCAATCAATAAACAAGAAAACTGATGGGAGCCACAATGGTGCAGTATTGTTCAAGGTTGACTCAGCCTTCCATCCTTCCGAGATTGGTAAAATGAGGACCCAGGTTGCTGGGAGGCAATAGGCTGACATTTGTAAACCACAGACAATGCTGTAGAGCACTATGGAGCAGTATATAAGCCTAAGTACTATTGCTAATATCATTCTAAAGTGAGAAAGCCTCCAACATGATTGAGACAGTGAAGATCCCATCTTGTGTAACTCTGTACTCCTCATATAGCTCTGGAGATTTCTTAAAAGCCACAAACTGTTAGGCGAGGATTATCTAAGAATTTAATATATTTACCCTGAGAAATAACAAAGCAATCCAAAGATCATTACCTACATTAGTCCATGAACTTTGAATATCAGCTAGAGTGTCCCTGATTAACCAGTATTGGAACCACCAAGGTCAAATGTTTGACATCTTAAGGCTATGGCTCAGGCATGTAGGTAATCACAGAATCATATGGTTCTTTTAATCTGAAAGATTGGCAGTCCCTGGGACCATAGATGGTTTTGGTAGGAAATGAAATATGGTTGTAATAGTCCAGAATGGTATCAGTCATTGCTGAATAATCCATTCTCACTAAAAAGGAAGCCTTCAGTTCTATAACTAAATCCCACACCCCAGTTCTTTGGCTATATCCCACACCCCAGAGCTGGATATGGCAACTCAGGGAAATGCCAGACTTCAACTTAAATCATACTCCAGCATAGCAAATCATATTATGTCTGTCTAAAAAAATCTAGAGACTATTTGCCTCTTGCCCTCTAGCAGATGATATTCAAGTAGAAATATCTTTCTGACATTTTTTTTAACTATACTTGATAACTGGCAATATAGAGGGAGGGAGGGAGACTGCACTACCAAAATATTGAACTTGCATCTGAGATTTATTTTCTGACCACCTTGGGACAGGCGTAGAATGCTGATGAAGGTCTTTGTGCTCTCTCTGCTATTAACAGAATTAAGCAATAGATTTAGAACCTCCCTTCTTGACAAACTAAGAAGTCCGTGGAATGAAAACTGGTTCTAAGCCTCATGGTCAGACTTACAGCTGATCAAAATGGGAAATAAGTAATGCCATACTATGCAGGACCAAAGCTGTAGGCTAAATATATTATAAATACAGTATAGTTGTAAATATGGCCCCGGTGCAACTAACTGAAAAGTGAAAGAAAGAGGTTTAGGATTTCAAACTTGTGGCATAAATATATGAGTTTTGTAGAAACTGATGTTGATCATAGCTAAGTTTACTTGTATTTGCAACAAAGATTTTTATCTCCTCTTTGTTGTTTCCATGAGAATACCAAGTTCTTAGAAAAAAGAATTATCGTAGTAGCCTGGATGCAATCTCTTACATTATTTTTAACAAGACTAGCAGCACTGAGGTGAATACTGGTAAAGCAATGCCAAAAGATTTTATTATTTGTTTATTGTAGGAATAAAGCCCTTCAAAAGGAGAGCTGGGCATTTGGTTCTCAACCATGCAGCAACAGTAGCAGAGATGTCAAATTGACCAGGAGACATCAGAGGCATAATCATCAGACTGAAAAAATTAGCACAAGTTCTCCAAAGGAGTGACCAGGGCAGGTTTTCCACTGGACAAAAACTTGAGATCAAGGACTTTAGAAGATATAGTCCTAACTCAAGGGAAGTCAGTGATGTTTAGGCAGGAAGTTAGAACTCAGATGCAAGATTCTTTTAGAGAAAACTCCTGTGGACAAAAAATGATGCTTGTAAAAGCTTTCTTGTCAAATTATCAGTCCAAGGGACATTTGGGGAACAGAAACACTCTGCCCTCTTTCAAATTGGTCTTGAAGAATTGTTGGCTGTTTCTCCAGCTGCTGTGTTAGGAATATGTGCCTTCTGGGAATTTTATTAGGTTTCCATTTTTTATTCTCTGGAGCTATTGCCTCTGTTTTTTAGATTGTACTGAAGTGCTTTGAAATTGTATACAGTACTACCTAGAATAATTTGTAAGTCAAACAGCTTATAAATATAATCAACAAGTATGAGACGAATGTGGATCAACACATTTTATGATCACTTCAGTATGCCTTCAGTTTTTCTAGAAAATAGGGATCCAATGATTGGCACTATGAAAAGATTGATCTGCCCTTAAAAAAGCTTCAAATCAATTGAAAACAGAGATGCTTTCAAAAGCGAAATAGAAATCAAGTGACCAGCTGAATTCTTGATGAGCCTGATACAAGTGAAGAGAAAATCTCAGTTTCCCCTCTCCCAGACTTTAAAAGCACATATTCAAGGGTGTTCCAGCCTAAATACCTTCTCCAGACATTGGTTACTGAATCTAAAGAAAAGTCAATGAGGACTGAACACCATTAATGGTAGGATTGGCATCAATGGCTCCAAATTTAAAGACCACTGTGAAGAAGACTTCAAGGCTTCTGGACCAGAAATTCAGGAGACATAACAATCTTTCATCTTCTTCATTTTTTTAATTGTGCTCATGAGACAAAGCTTTTAGAAAACTTTGAACCTATGGATGATTTCCTCTATTATTAGCCTCAATAGGTAGATCAGACCAAATAATCAATTCCATAAGAGAGCTAAACCTACTTTTAGCTATAACAATAGAATGTTGCAAGTCCGATTGTGTTGTGCATCTTCCTCCTTATAGTTTACTACTCAGGGAGGTGTCTGCCTTAGCTACTTCAGAATGTTGTCTTGCTGGTCTGGACTATATAAATGATTCAATCCTTTTGCCTTGGTAATATTCCTGCGTATCTCCATCAAGCCCCAAAGATGCTTTTTTAAAAGGCAACTGAACTTCCTTTCTTTGTTTCTTGAAAACCTTTCACTTCTCATTCAAGAAGCTTCTCCAGTTCTTCTTGGATGAGAAATGAAATTATTTCCAAGGAAAAAAAAATGAGAAAGACCAGTTGCCTTTTGAAAAAGCTCCTTTGGGACAGGCATGACCTGGATGATTGAGAATCTCCATGTATGTATCTCCACCAGGGTTATCTTTTTACTCTCTACCCCTATAATGTGAGTTCAGAGACTAAGGATCTCTTTGGCCGACAGAAAATTTCATTGATTTTTCAAAGAGATAAAGTCTTCACAAGGATTGGAGGAAGATGAGAAGGTTACAGTACCTTTGGACCCTGCTATCCTTAATGCTTGCTATCAAAGAGTTGTTCACAAACAAAATGAACACTTGTGATGAGCCTATTTAACAAATGGTTGGTAGTACTTAGAAGAGTTTAAAGAGATCTTCCCAAAAGCAAATTGACACCATTTTTGCTTGCTGGGACATGACCACTGAAGTAAAGACAAGGATAGAGAAAGCTCGAACAGCATTTTTCAAAATGAAAAAGGTCTTCTGTAGTCACGACATAAGCCTAAGACTGAAAATAAGGCTTGTCAGATGCTATATTTTTTCTATCCTGCTCTATGGAGTAGAGAGTTGGTCTCTGACAGAAAGCCACCTGAAGAGACTAAAAGCATTTGAAATGTGGATTTACAGGTGGCTGTTACGTATAAGCTGGGTTGACAAAATCAGAAATGAGGAGGTGATAAGCCGCCTGGGAAAGTCAAGGGAAATCATCAAAACATTTAAAAAACAAAAATTAGAATATTTTGGACATGTGATGCGACACCCAGAAAAATACGGCATACTCCATTTAATCCTCCAGGGAAAGATTGAAGGCAAATGAGGTCCAGGCAGAACAAGAACATCTTGGCTTCAAAATCTAAGGGACTGGTTTGGACAAAACCTAGCAGCACTTTTTCGTGCGGCTGCTGATAAAAACAGGATCGCGATCATGATCGCCAACGTCCGATAGCGGATATGGCACAAGAAGAAGAAGAATATAAATATTACACAGCACTTTCAAAGGGATAAATGGGTCTTAAATCCTAAAACTAACCATTTTGCCAGAGTGATTCACTCGTAGGCATGATCACATTAGTGAACCCTTATATTATTTCAACTAAAGAGGCTTCTATTTTACAATCTTCAAGTAAGAGTTCTCCAGATATGATATAGATATGATAAAAGCTACTAAGATTACCTAGATAATGTTATGCTGTTTGGATGCTAAGCATAAGTGGTTAACAAATATGAAGTGTTATGAAAATGTACAGCTCAAGCAATTATCTACATGGGCTAATTAAGAGTCCATTGGAGTTGATTAGCTAATAAATTTATATTAATAATAATGTCAACTTCAGCATCAGTCTTTGCAATCATATGTATTCTTGAAAAAAACTCAAAATTATCCTTGCATTGCAGAGGACACTCTGAACATGCTAACGGTATCCATGCATTTGGGAAGTAGAACACATACTGTACCCGATACTGCAGACAACAGCTTCAAAAGCCTTTGGATTTTGTCATGTTTCAACATCTTGGGACTGTATTCCTCTTGTACTAAGCAGCAAAACTCCACAAATTGTTCAAAAGCCTCTTGAAGTGAATTAATTAGATCTACAGATGCTTCACTTCCAATCTCTCCTGCATTAGAAAGCACAGGAAAAAGTTACTATTAAGAAGAGCGACAAGCTCATGATTTGTCAGCTATTCAAGGTAGCCCAGGTCAAAAAACCCACTCTACATTATTGATATAAACTATAATAATAGAATCTTGAAAAACTGTGTTTTTCCTTCCCTCTGTCTTATATCCCAGAGAATTAAGGTGGAATCAGTTTGAGTTTCTCTTTTATGTTTTACTTATATTTCCAGGTTGAAAACCTGACTTTGTTTTTGTAGTTATGCTGTGCAGTTTCTTTAAAAATGTTTGTGCTTTTCTATAATGCTGTACTCAAAGTACTTAAAAATGAGTGATACTAGAATCCATAAGTTTCAAATCTAGTTGTCCAATCGCCCTTACTCATACCCTCCCTGATGCTGACAGCAATAATGCTATAGCAGTTATACTGCTCCAGAAAAAAGAGGAAAAAAAATACAGCCAATACAATCCTAAATGACAACTGCAGGAAACTAGCAGCAATTGATTTTCAAATTCTTAAAAATGTTAAACTGTTTCTTAGATTGAGTAGGCCCATCTGGGAAGTACCTGGTAATTCCTCCAGGTGTAATTTGCTGCTAGTTGAGTAGCTGTTGATTAGATCTACAGCTATGAACTTCCTGGTTTTTTTCAAGATATCCAGAGGTGATCTTGATTGCGCATCAGAGATATTTGGATCTGCCCCAGCATTTAGAAGCATCATGATATATTCCTTTTGATCTAATACAAAGACAAGTTGCACTGGTAATAAGTATTCAACAATATGTTATCTCAGCATTACATCTGCATTTCATGACACAAGCCTCTTATCTACTCTAATATGTTGCAAGTGTTAATTATAACTTGTAGAAAGCTCCATAAGGGAATATATAAAATTCACTTTTGGCATTTGTTGAATAAGTAACAGGAACAGACATACACTTTTCAGCAAACTGTTTATTTTAGAAATCTCAGAAAATTCATGGGAAATAACAAAATAAAATTGTAATTATGTTTACATCACTTCCAACAAACTAAAACCAAACCAATTCATTATGAATTCAAACATTACATAAATCCAGTTATTTATACACTGCATTGTGGTATGGTTCTTTTAACCATGGACTACTGAATAAACCCAAAACGACTCAGTTTACACAACACAAATAGACATAGTTTACAAAGCCAAAGAATTTCATTATAGTTTTAGCATAATGTGCAAACAGGGCTAGTGCTTTTCCTCCCAGCACAAATGATGCAAAGCTCATCTCTTCAAAGATATTTATTTCTATAATTATAATTCTATAATTATCTCAGTCCCAAAAGTGTGTATGCCAGGTGCAAGAAACCATACATTTAAACCCACTGAAAAATGCTATATCAACATTAAAAAAGAAATGGAACAATAATAATTGAAGTAACTATTACAGAATTGAGAAACCAGGTGAATAAAATCAGTGTTGAAAGTGTAACGACATATTTATTCACCATATTGTTGTAACTCAGTGTTTGTTCCAAGTGCAATCCTATAATGCTACAAAATTTCTTCTTACAAAGATTGTGTTCACTCAGAAATGAGAAGGGGTCCACACGTTTAGAGATAACTAGATTGATCTAATTTTCACTTAAAAATAAATGAATGAACATATTCCTATACAGTACTGCCAGAAGAAAATATAAAATCATATACGTATACCAAAGGTCAGACACAAGTTGGGCCTCACAGACAGTTTGTTTTATATAAATTATATTACATGTCCAAATTGCTTGCCATTTGCTTCTAAACATTGCCTTAGTGACCCATGACTCTCAAATATTTCTTGGTAACTTTTACTCTAAAAAAAATGGGATTGGCCTTTTAGTACATTTATATATAAATTTTCTGAGCAGGCTAGGGCCAGATTTATTTCAGCAATTAGCTTATCAGAAAATCCTCAATCAATGCTTATTGGTTATTTATTTTTTCCTTTCCACTTAGGAACAGATAAAATGATTCTTTTTAGGATCCCATGACTTGAAAGAATAATAAACAAGAAAAAGACTGCTTCTTAGAGACAATTTTTTTTCCACAAATACTGTTTCTTATCTTGGATTTGGGGACAAGAAGGCTAAAAACGGAAATAGTGTTATTTCACAGAAAGCAACAGAGTTACAGTGCAGGAATATTCCAAGCTGTGCATTTAAACTTACTTTTCCATGAATATCTACTAGTCTGAGATGCTACTAGATGAAGAACTGTGGACCCATCTTCATTTTGTTGGTTAATAAGGCTCTTCAATTCAGGCTTATAATTCAGTAACCATTTGAAAAGACTGTTTTCATCTAAATATTTAAATGGAGAAGCGTACACATTTAAAGAAGGAAAAATGTCCAACAAAACTTACAGAATATCTGCATATGATAAGTAAGTATTTTTCTTATACTTTTTTCCCCTATTTGGATTAACCTATTTTATGCCAAATAGAGAAGGTTGCAGAATAGAAATCACCATCCTTCTAAATTCATACAACAAAAGTCAAGTCCAGACCATTATATAGCATGTCTCCTGGGAATTGTCCAAAATCTATGGCGCTTCCATTCATGTTCCTAAAGATTTGACTAGCATAAAGTCTGTGGAGATTCTCAATCATCCAGGTTATCGTTGTCCCAAAGGTGCTTTTCAAAAGGCAGCTTTGTTTTTTTCATGAAAACATTTTATTTTTCATGCAAGAAGCTTCTTCAGTTGAATTGAATAATTGAATGAGAAGTGAAACATTTTCAAGGAAAAAACCAAGAAAGTCCAATTGCTTTTTGAAAAGCACTTTGGGATGTTCTAGCATAGTAACCTAGCAAATAGTTTTATACCGTGGAACCTTCTGTACTTAGAATTGCCACCCACTTATGTTTCTCATCCAGACATTTGTCATCACATCTTGTAGATGAAGCTTAAAACTGCAATATACAATTCTCAATACATCATTCTAATCAAACGGTAGTCATTTTAATTACAAATTCACATTAAGAAGATATGTATTATCACTTATGGTTATGTTTTATTTTCCTCCCTAAAAGAAGAAGAACTTACTTGCTTTGATGCAAAACATGATGACAGCATGAAGAGGATAGTCTCCAATGCTTTCTACTTTTGTTCCAATAGAGAGCAACCACTCCACTAATATGGATAATCTTCGTATATTTTCAAAGTGGGCCTCAAAAATATGCTTCTGGTTGGAGAGAAGCAGAAAGAAGCAGAAACGATAAACAACAGAGACTTTATATTCACCAGTATACAAGTAATCCTTGACCAACTATCAGTTGTTTAGCAACCGTTCAGAGTTACAATGGTTTCGCAAAGGGTGATTCACAGACTGTAGAATGCTTTTGGCTCTCATAAAATCTTGCGCAGTCCCCCCCCCCCGCAATCACAGGACCATATTTTGGGCATTCACCTGTATGACTGGTTGCAGTGTCTTACAATCACATGGCTGCAATTTGGATAAAATACACCAATTCAGGAAAATAGATTTGCACTTATAACTACATGATTTGCTTAACAACTGATTCAGACTTATGACCATGTGATTCATTTAATGACCATCATAAAAATGGTCATAAAACCAGGTCTGGCCATGTGGTCTCTTGACTTATGATGATCATAACTTATGATCATAATTCCGGTCCCAACTGCAGTTGTAAATCAAGAACTATTGTGAAATATCACTTGTTCACAAAGGGAGAAAGAATAAGATAACCACTTCTTCAAACCTAGTGCAAAATCCCTCCTTTGGCTCCTGTCCACAAATGCTGATTGTTACACTGAAATGCTAGTGTAAGGGAATGATCTAGTCTGCATGCCAGTATTTCCGGATTGGATTGTCTTTCTGGATTGGACTATCTTTTACTCATTCTGGCCCAGATAAAAATTTCTGATGAAAGAGTTACACTAACCTCAAAGAGGTCTTTCAGCGATAAATCAGTAACTTGCAGATTTCTTGGCAATTTTTCTTGCTCAGTAGCCAGCCACAGACAGGACTAGGAGAAAACAAATTTGTGAATTTTTGGTATTTATACATTAGCATCCAATTGTATTAAAAAGACAGGTTTCTTTCCCTGTTCTCTAAAATGCCAGTGTTCCCAGAACCCATCAGAATTCTGCAAGGCTATTATGTATCTTAGAACAGGGCTTTTCAACCAGTGGTACAGGTATCACCTGTGGTACATTGGCATCTGACAGGTGGTACGCGACCATCCTAGAAAAGTGGTAACGGGGGAGGGGAATGAGCTGAACCGGTGGCAGCACCGCACAAGCCTGAGCGAGAGATGGCTGGAGCTGCAGGGCTGTCAGGGCTCAGCGGAAGCACCAGGATCAGCGCCAGGCTCCAGTTGGAGCTCGGTGCTGATCCTGGTGCTTCTGCTAAGCCCAGAAGAAGCACTGATCAGCTGGAATGTTGCAGCATTTCCAGGGTCTTGTGATTTACATTCAGATGCTTGGCAACTGATTCATATTTATGACAGTCACAGTGTCCCAGGGTCATGTGAAGTGACCAAAACCTGCTGCAACCACCCAGCAGATGGGAGGAATAAAAACCAAACACCCCCACCCCACCCCCGCTGTCAATTCTCAACAGAAATGCTCACAACAATGAAAACCTCGGACAGGAGGAAGAACTCCGCCGGGTGGGCAGGCAGGTGTCTTGCTTGGCTGTGGCTTGGGGGGCACTTTTTTCAGTGCCATTGTAACTTCAAACAGTTACAATGCGAACTGTTGTAAGTTGAAGACTACCTGTACTTTATCACTTTTTTCCTTTTTTTTTTTTTTTGGTCATCAAGTTTTTGACACCTTGCTAGGCGACTGATGGTACTCGGATATTGCCATATCCTAAAAGTGGTACAATGGGTGAAAAGGTTGAAAAGCCCTGCCTTAGAATATGATATACATTACATCTTGAGTATCAGTACACTGTATACTTCTTAGTTGCTGCATTGTCAGAGCAAAATATTAATTTGCAAAGTAGTTTCTTGATTAAAGATCCTAGCTTGCCTTAAAGAGCAATGTTATGACCAGGCTTAAAATTCAAATGGCTTTAACTAAGCTTACAGTAAATCATACTAGACAAAATATGCCAAAACTAATTGGAACTGAACCATTAGCAAAAACATTCTACATGACACATGGTATGACCAAAGCTGGTAACTCTTTCTATCCTTTGTTAACTTTCTAAAGTGTTATAGAAAGGCTTCAATTGACTAAAAACATGATAGATGATAAGGTCATTAAGGTTATTGAAATCAACTATGTTTTTAACTTGGAATGTAAGAGATGTACAAACTTAAACATATTGAATTAATAAATAAAATAAAAACAAGTATATTGTTTGTGATATAAGAAGAAATGGGAAGGATATGATCTGATTGAACGCAGCCTGATCAGAATGAATAGAGTTGATGAATATATGTAAGTAAATGCAGGTGTGAGTTTAATGAAAGGGCTCAGACAACAGAAAGTATGATTTGGTGTGATTTAGAGTATCATGATTATTATGAAAGCAAAAATTTATAGGACAGTGGCAATTGCGTCTCCACATCAATGTGATTCACATACAAGAGGAACAAAACTACATTTTAGGAATACTTTTTGACAAGCAGAATATAAGTATTTTTTTGCTCTGTAGAGATCAGTGAGAAATATATAAATGATAAAGGTAGTTTATATGTGTGTGCTTATTTAGAGGCAGAATATTATAAAGGCCTGATTTATTAATATTTTGCATATTTATGGAGCTGGGAAATTATGGGCAAATAGAACAATTGTGAATAACAGAGGAAAATGTGCATCAGAATAAACAGAATGCTTAGCATTCAATAAATACTAAAGTGTAAGACAGGAGTTTTTCAATCAAGTATTTATTTATTCAAGGGGCATAAATACATAAAATGTATTTCTAGGTAATTCCCAAAAAATTTTATGGTGACATTACAGCTATACTGGGCATATAAATTTTTACATACTTTGTAGGGAGACAGTGCAATATGGTTGCCTGGAAACTTGAATGATGATTAGACTGTATTACACAATGAAAAGTATGAATGTACCGAAGGTCTAAGTGGTTGTGCTTAGTGGAGAAAACTGAACAGTTGCAAATTATATAAAAATGGACTAAACTAGAGAGCAAGCCATTGTGGTGCCTGCTTTACGGAATATTCTTTCTCCCAAAGTAAGGCTGGCTTCTTCACATTTGACCTTCTAAAGGTTTTCAAGGTCTGGAGAACCCAAGAGAGTGGAGAATTATTGGGGTGGCTTTCCTATTATTAACATCTCCTTGCCTAATATTTCTTCTTTTTTTAGCTTTGTATTTTATAGCTTTTTAATGTTTAATGTTTAGCCATAGCATTAATAATAAACATAATAGTCATGGTGTGCTCTGTTGAAGAGCCAGACTAAATTTGCTCTAAACCCATTTAACTATGATGAAAACATGTCAAGTCAATTCTATGCCGGATCAAGTGTTGCCTGGCTCAACCAGACTCACATTGGATACTATGGCTCCTGGGTGTTCAGAGGAAAATATGCCACAGGGCTTAGCTCCCTCTGCTAGCCAACCAGGGCATGGAGTTGACAGGTAACTAGAAGACGAATGAAAAAAACTAAAAATCTGGACAAAGGAAGAAAATTACTCAATTATGGAATCTTATTATAGATACGAGCCAACAAAATGTGGAATTCAAAAGTGCATTTTCAAGTTTGGAAAGAGAATCATCTGGATATGGAAATCAATGAACAAAGACTTATGGACCAGAGGCGTGTTATTCTTCACTAATGCAGAATTACAAGAGATTGCAAGCAAAGCAGCTCAAAGTATAACTGATAATAGAGATAATTTAGAAGTGGAGCAACAAGTAGTGGAGAAGAGGAAGGAAATCATAAAAGTGGATGATGAACAAGAAGCAAGAGCTGGATTAGATCTTGAAGAACCAACAGACAAAGCCGAACTAGCTGAAAAAATTAAGACTCAGATGGAAAGCATGGAAAGAATTCTATTGCCAAAATTAAATCAAGTTAGTAAGAGAAGTTGGCTAAATTATTGAAGAATGTGAATGAAGCTGCACAGACTATTCCAACAGAAACATTACCTCAAACAAACCAGCGAATGTATGCAGCAGCTTATGTTACTACCGAAGAATTAGAGTTGAAAATTGTAAAGAATAAAGCAATTAAGAAGGGAAAACCAAAGTGGAAAATCCATCTGGGGTTAAAAATAAAGAGCATTCCATTGGACTTAAGTAATTTGAAGAATTTGAGGAAGGAAACCTGAAGAATAAATAAAGAATTAGCCTGACAACAAGATATGACCTAGAAAACAAAGAAATTGCAGTTATGGTTGAAGAGCTTAAACAAAGAGTTGTAGCTATTGCAGAGAAAATAACTGAATGATAACTGAATAATGCAGTTTCAGCAAAATTCACAATTTCAAGTGAACCAGCATCATTTCTATAAGACCCTTGAAAGTGGACATGGTGCTACCACAATTGAAAAACCTAACAAAGAAAATACCCTGAAATTTTGGAAGAACTTGTGGGGAAACAGCAAGAAGCACAATGGGAATGCAAAGTGGATCAAGCAGGTTGAAAACATTGTAAAAGTGACTAGAATGGAAGATGCTCATGTAACAAAAGATTAGCAAACCAGATAAATCGGGTTCTGGAAACACCAGAAAGTGAAAAATGGCCAACAACTGGAAGAACAGTTTTGATTCAGAAGGATGCAGAAAAGGGAAATAAACCTGAAAATTACAGGCCAATCACTTGCCTGCCAACAATATACAAATTACTTACAGGCATTATTGCAAACAAATTTATGGATATCTAGAAAACAAGGATTTGCTGCCTATAGAACAGAATGGGTGTTGCAAAAATTCAAGAGGAACCAAAGACCAACTGATAATTGATAAACTGGTTTTGAAGAATCAAAGAAAAGACAAACAAATTTGTTCATGCCTGGATTGGTTATAAGAAAGCATCTGATTCTGTTCCACACAGCTGGATTAAGAAATATTTAGACATTTTTGGAATTAGCAGCAACATCCAGAAATTCCTGAAGACTTCCATAAAGCTATGGTAAACTGAGTTGATAGCCTATGGAAAAGAACTTGGTGAAATTGAAATCAAACAAGAAATCTTCCAAGGCAACTCATTGTCATCTCTGTTATTTGAACTTCCGATGGCATCACTAACAAGCATTTTGAACAAAACAAACTGTGGCTATGAATTGGCTAACAAAGGGTTGAAAATTTCCCGTCTCCTCTACATGGATGATTTAAAACACAAAAGCTGAATTGAGCTCACTGCTGAAAAGCACTGAGGAATTTAGTAGAAACATTAAAATGCAATTTGGCATTGACAAATGTGCAACAATTGCTATTAAGGCAAGAAAAATTGTTGAAAATGATGAATTTGAACTTGATAATGAAGAGTTGATAAAAGCAGAAATACCAGAAGAAGGGTACAATTACTGAGGAGTTTTGGAAGCCTCTGACCTATTGCACAACCAAGTCAAGGAAGCTACTTCAACAAAATACATAGTGAGTCCGGAAAATCTTGAGATCAAAGCTAAGTGGAGGAAATACTATAAAAGTAATTAACACTTGGGCAGTACCTGTAATATGATACTCAGCTGGAATAATTGATTGGACTCAGTTAGAACTTGATAACTTGTTTCAAAAGACAAGAAAACTAATGACAATGCACCATGCTCAGCACCCAAAAAGTGATATTGATTGATTGTACTTGCCTAGATCTCGGGAGGGCAGAGGACTTTTATAGGTAAAACAAACTGTGGAAGAGGAAAAACATAGCTTAAATGACTACATAAAAAAACAAAAGAGCCTCTGCTGAGGGAGGTGAACAAGGGAAACCTCTTGAAAACAAAGAAATTGAAAGCAGAATATCAAAAAGAAACAATTGAGCATCAAGTCTCTAACTGGAAAAAGAAGCCTATGCACAGTCAATAACTGAAGGACATTGAAGGAAAGGTAGATACAAAGCTACATGGAGATATTTGAGATAAGAGGTGCTGAAGAAAGAAACTGAAGGTTTCATTTTGGCTGTCCAAGAACAAGCCCTGCAGACAAATTCCATGAAAGCAAAAATTCAACATCAGTAAGCAAATACCACCTATGCAAGAGGAAGATGAAACAGTGGATCACCTTATCAGTGGCAGCAGCAAAACCTCAGAAACTGATTATCTACAATATAATGATTAAGTTGCCAAAATTATATTGGAAGCTTTGCCAGAAGTTTGGGTTTGAATGCAGCAAAAATTACTGGGAACACCAAATTGGCAGTTCTTAAAAATGAATAGATTAAGATCTTGTGGGAATTTTGAATCCAAAGAAACAGACATCTGACCCACAACATGTCTGACATCCCTATTGTGGAAAAGAAAAAAGTCTGATTCATTGATATTGCAATACCAGGTGATGCATGAAGTGAAAAGAAACAACCAGAGGAAAAAATAACAAAATACTGCGATTTGCAAATTGAAGTTGAGCGATTGTGGAAGAAGAAATCAATGGTTGTACCAATAGTAATACGAGCCCTTGAAGCAATACCCAAAGGGCTGCCTAGATACATGGAAATTTTGAACTTATCAGACCTGAATATTCTGACTTTGCAAAAAAAACTATCTTATTTGGAACTGCCTATATACTTAGATATTACCTTAATAGTTAGAACATAAACTGTTACGGTTTTAACAGTCCCAGTCTGTAAATCGAAGATTAAAACTTAAACAATAATAACGATGAAGATGATGATGATGATGACGACAACTGTTTTACTATTTATTAATTTGGTTTTTAAGGACTGCTGTATGGTACCTAGAGTAACTTGTTTGTGGGATGGGTGGGTATATAAATTTGACAAGTAATAAATAAAACATTGGTTGAGTATTTATACTGAAGATTAGAAAATGTATGGAAACACTTTAGCATGAACTTGAGAAAGGAAGAATATCAATAGTTCAACAGAAATATACCTACCTGCCATAAACGTTTTCTTACCAGCTTTTCAATTACTTGTTGCCAAAGCAGTGGACTGACAAAAGTATCCATAATGTTTTTACAAATAGATACCATTTTCTGGTTAATAGTCCTTTCATCTATGGAAAATGAAATAAAAGAAGTTTAAACATATCAAAAGCATAACCTAAACAAGTGGTAGATTTAGGTTTTATTTAGAGAGAAGGAAAATGCTAAAAACTAAGGATAAAAAAGTTATACTGTATGAACAAGCTAGACTTTAGACAGGATTGCACATTTTGTCTAATAATCTTTATGTTGCTATTCTCATGGTAAATTGTGGGTTTTTTGGGTGGTTTTTTTAAGTAATCCCTTAATGCAGTGTGGAGTTAGAACAACTGAATAGACTTGAGTATTTACTGGCCGGATGCCCTTCTTGAGTGTCTACATCAGTGTTTCTCAACCTTGAGCATTTTAAGGCATGTGGACTTCAACTCCCAGAATTCCACAGCCAGCATTGCTGGCTGTGGAATTCTGGGAGTTGAAGTCCACATGCCTTAAAATGGTCAAGGTTGAGAAACACTGGTCTACATGGAGTTCACAACAGATATTTTCTTTGTGCACCAAGAAACATCTGCCACTACCTAGGATTGAACTCTCAATCCTCCGAGTGGGAGGCGAGTGTCTTCACACTAGGCCTAATCGTAGAATAGATTAATGCAGAAACAAAATCTGCTTAATTGTTACAATTGTTAATATTTCAATTCTCTTTACAAATAGCAGAATAAAGTGGAATGTGACGATCGAAGGACTATAACATACAATGGCAGTTATATGTTCAATGTTTCTCATACAGAAATAGCTACAAACAAGGAAACAAGCAATGATAGAGAAACAAGATCTATTGCAGTTTGTGTCTGTTGTTGTTCTAATCATAAGAAATTACTGAAGTAGGAGAGCAATGAAAACATGATTATATATAGTCCTTGACTTATGACTACAATGGAGCCCAGAATTTTGATAGTAGTCATTGCGATTATACGTTGAGGCACCACATGACTGAATTTGATTTTATGACCATTTTTATGATAGTCATGAAGCAAGTCTCTGTGGTGATTAAGTTAATCATTTGGTTAAGTTAACCACATGGCTATTCAGTGCACCATGTAATCATTAAGTGAACCACATGACCATTAAGCAAACCATGTAACCGTTAAGCAAACCACCTGGTTGCTAAGCAAATCCAGCATATCCAATGGACATTTTTTGTTGTTTTTGTTGCGACCTAGATACCAATTGCCCCAAATGCCACCATATGACTGTGGGAAGGAGGGTATTATCAGGAGTTGTAACTTTAATGACAGGTTGTAATTAAAGTCTGTTGTAACTTTGAATGGTAACAACCAGTTTTAAGTCCAGGACTTAAATGAACATAAATGGTATCAATTCTATAACTTCATTCAACACTTCAGTTATAAAAGAGACAGAACTAACTCATGGAAAATATGAGTTTAGGGCTCATATAATCTCCAGTACCTTAAGCAGCAAAAATATGTTTTTCCATTTCATATATAGCTTATGTACATAATGTACAGCATTTCTAAGTATGCACCAAATGTAAAGTTGAACCATCTACAAAGTCACCTATTTGAAAAAACTTTCCAATGCAGATACACATCCTTGAAATTACTACTGCATGGTAGCTCATCTAGGATCAGGTAAAATATTAGGACTGTGTAAGTTTCAAAGGAGCTGTCTGAAGCTTTTGAAGCAAACTATTAATTAAAATGGTGCATCTTTCGAAGTGCTAGATCAGAGTGACGAAGCCTCTCTGATCCAGATCCTAAAAAAGCATTTCTGCACATAGATCCCTAGCCAGAAGATTGAAATAGTCAAGTAAACAGTCAACCTGAGACCTAGGATTTGATTTCTAATCAAAGTGAGGCAAATAGTTACTCACAAAGCAATGGAAACGGAATTATCAAATGAAAAGTGTGTGAAAATCACTGTATGGGAGACAGAAAGTTCCAATATAATGTCTGCTTTTTTCCCCCACCAAAACATGCCAATTCTGCTATTTCAGGGATTGTTTGTTAGTATGGAAACATATTTTCTACAACAGGAAGTGCTATTGCACATGTGATGTTTGGTGCATTCTGGACTAAAACGCTGCAGATTCCATATCTGGATATGTGAGTTTTGGTATGGATATTTGAGTTTTGCATAAAAGTATAAAGTATGCTTTTTAAAAAAAAAGGCATACTATTCTCCATGAATAGACACAAAGCTGTATTATAAAAGTTAGATTGTTATTAACAATAAAGGCAATATCTATTATACCTTTTCCCTTCCAAAGCTGATATTTTTATCATTTCTCAAAAGAAAATATTCTTCCTATTACTTACTGTTAATAGCTGAGAAAGTACCGATTATCAAATCAGAAATTTGATTGATTGGAATTTGATCTGATGAAGTCTGGAGAACAGTCAAACCTTGGTAAAACCTTTCTGCTGCTTTTAGGGATTTTGACAATTTAATCAGAGAGTAACCTGTTCTGTAGTATCCCTAGAAAGAAAGGAAAAGGAGAATTCAAAAGTCAGCATTCGTCTTTAGTAACACAGATCCGAACAATTTAGGAAGAACAATTTCCCATAAACCACATCAATGTATTACACTAATAACAAAAACAAGCTCTTGGCCAATCAATAGCTTGTAAAACTGAAATACTATAGTTAAAGATAGTTAAGTCAAAAGTCACTTTCTATAACTTACATTGTTCAAAACAATTCTACAATTTCAAGATAATATTGTAAATTTTCAGACCCATGCCAAACTTTAGATACTGTAGCACATGCACATGTATCATTATGATATTTTTAAACCTTATAATTAGTAGTTTGAGTTATAAAGAAACTCCACTATGAAGTTTCTGTGTTCTGAATTATATGAGAAAGTGTGCCAGCTCTGTTTAAAGGTAGCCCTAGAGTTACAACTATAATGGAGCCTGCCCATCACAATTGTAACTTGTGATCGTTGTAAAGAGGTCAGCCATGTGACCAACCAAATTTTAAAATTTTGCAACATTTTTTACAGCAATTGTTAAGCCAACATTGAAGCCAATGAGTGAACTAATGATTCACTGTGGGCATAGTTTTCCGAAAACTGTTAAGAAAATGCCAGTTTTTTACAAAACTGCTATGAAGGGACTGCAGGATGTTGTATAAAGCTGTAAATGCAGCCCAAATGTAAGTGCCCAAAGTGCAGCCAAGTGACCGGGCGGAACTTCAAAGCTGGGTCACCTCTCAGATAGATCTGTTGGAACTCCAAATGGTTGTTAAGCAACTGGTTGTAAGTCAAAGGCTACTTTAACCAGTTATTTTAAGATCCAAGATACCAATACATATCACAAATTCCTCCTTACTTATTCCATTTTGTCAAACATCATAGAAATTCATCTATTCTTATATTTTATTTTAAAACAGAACAAAATATGCTGTAAAATGCTTACTATTCCAATATTCAAACACTGGACTTTTTAAAAGAAACATTCAGCACTGATTTTAAAATATACCTTAATATAAGTTGCATCCCATTTCAGGCAGTCTTCTGCAGAGTGATACGCCTCATGCCATTTACCCAAATTGTAAAAAGCATTTGATCTGTTGCAGAACAATACTGCTATGTCTCGATTGCACGAAACCCTAAAAGGGGAGATGGGAGAAGATTTTAAATGCAACTGCTTTGAGGAAACTGTTTTATGTAATAGTTTATACAGCACTCAATAATTGTGTGGAATGGAAAAAACACATCTATCTAGAAGACATTTTTGTTGTAAGAAAGAGGGGGGAAATTAACTGCTTTTATGTCTTCAGCTATATAAGTCACTATGAGAATGATATGGGCTGTATTTAAAATTTAATAAATAAATAGGTTCATGGAGTCAAAAGGTCAATCAGGTAATTTGGCAAATAAATGTTGCTTTCATATATATGGATGTCCATATACATATATATGATACTAATTTGTATAAACTGATATAACATATTTCATTTAAATGGGATGTACTAAGTTTACTGATTACACTTCTCTGAGCATCAATTCAGTTCTAAAAAAATCTTTGAATTTACTTGGACTATCTAATAAAGGAAAAATGTTTTCCCAGGAAGGGAAAAGTTGCACCATCAGAAGCAAGTCTTTGTATCAGAAGATATACAATTGAGGGTATACATGTAAAATACCAGAACCCTTCTAATGGTAGTCACTGTGAAAGCAGAGCTTTGGGAATTGGTCATCAGAGGCATCCCAGACTATGCAGCAAATTAAATGGCAGACAAAGTCACTACTGCAAGGGTCTGTCAAATCACTTCTCAGAAGCGGATTCCATCTCCTTACTTTGGAGTAAAGAATAATTTAAATGTAATACATTTAAAATAAATAAGGCTTTGTGTGCTATCTTTATAATGCCTTTCTTTCCAAGTTCAAAGTTCAAAATCTTTTGCCCAGTCACTTACTGCACAAGCTCTGCAAAAAACTATGGAAATTTGTTTTCCATAGGCATCCCAGACTCTCTACATAAAAAAAATCTAAGAAAACAGTAGAATTATTTTATATCTTCCTTATGTATTTCAAATAGAGCCTCATAAAACTCAAACAACTGGAAAAATCTTTCTAGATACATTCTGGTCTAAGATCTTAATAAAGTACTTGATTTATTTCCAAAGAATGACCAAAGTAATTATATATTTATAAATTATATTACCTGACTTTTTCATTATTAAAAAAGAATTCCAAAATGGGAATATACAGAATTATAACTAATATTATTTTACAGAATAGCAAGTGTTGTAACAGAAACTACAAATAAGAAAAACAGCACTACAAATTCAGCAAAATGGGTGAAAAAATAAATCTTCAGCTAATGCCCCTTTAAGGCCCCTTTTTTGGATAACCATAAAGCAAATTCCAAACACTTAAAGCACCATGTATTATCTCTTTCATTGTAGGAGGGAGTTAACCTTGCTTTCCAGTGGGATGCTGTGTAAGGACATACAAATCATTAGCCAGGCAGGTGTTCACACATACACATACACATACACATACACATACACACACACACACACACACACACACACACAGAGCAAAGATTCCTTCAAGTCAACTCCTGTTGTTAACATGGACTGATTCTGTAGTTTCCTGGGCAATAATATAGAAGGATCATGCCACTTGCCCTCCAGCAATTTCTTTTAATATTGAACTATCTAAATAAAGAAAATAAATTTTATTTCATATAACCTGCTTACATAACCTGCTAAAATGTCTTCTAGAAGACACTATTCTGATTTCTAAATACTTTGCCTAAAACTCTTCAAGGAATTACACAACTGGCAATCGTCTTGTGATTTGCTTATATCAAATGGACAAATGCATTAATTAATTCTTCTATATATTGGTAAGAGTGTTTTCAAAAGGATAATCTAACCTTATTGTGATTATGTAAAAAATGTCAAATAGCTAAACAGTTAACAGCAATCATCTGAATAACTCTCTAATATACAATTTTATTAATAAAAGAGATATCAGCTCAAGGACTCAGCACAGAACTGTTAATTATTTAAAGAAAAAAAAATACCCCGTGGCACTGAAGAAATGAAGTATTATGTTTATTGCTTCATCATATTTTCTGATGGCAAGGCAATACTTTCCACTTTTGAAATCATGATTTCCTTGAGCTTTCAGATATTCTGCATAAGTGAGGGGATCTCCAGGGCTGAGAGAATCCATTCTGATAAAGAGGGGGAAAAGACAATTTTCAGTTAAGAAGTAGCCTTTTATAAGCATCACACTTATATTTAACAAGTGATTCCATTACCAACACAGGCACCAGAATATAGACATAATTTGCCAGATACAACATAAAAGCAATGCTTTCCTAATAAGACTGAATAGTAATACGAATCCAGTAATCAGTGCACTAGATAACTAATTTCTTTTGAAATCAAAGTATAATTGCATTTGCTCCTGAAAACTATGTGAAAAAGTCTATTTAAATAAGGACAATTTTTGAATTCAAAAATAAAATAAGTTTTGATTTATTCAGAAGGCATAGGTAGGTAGGCAGGCAGGCAGGCAGACAGACAGATTTCTACAAAAGATACAGTCACTAAATGACTTATCTCTAAATGTGCTGACTATTCACATTGTTTTAGGCCATAGTTTATTTAATTATACTTTGCTGAAGGAACCATAAGTTGTGTCTTATTATGCACTATATTAAAACATTTTTACAAAGGAAGACTTAGTTTACACATTGCATACTTTGCTGAAGAAATCATAATAAGCTAACTTTTATCATATACTACAATAATGCAATTTTATAACAAATGAGGACTTAGTTCACACACTGATCTAAAAAAACCAAATCAAACTACTGCCACATGTGAATCTCTACATAAAAATTAACAGTATCTTTGGGAGATGTTAACATAGGAGCCCATTCAAAAATATAGAGAGGGAGACATATTCTGAATTGATAAGTCTCTTGAGTGTTGCATCTTTTATTCCAGCTGCTGTTTATATGTTGCCTTTGTTTTTCTGTTTTTTTTTAATGTTTAAATATTGTTAGCCATCCAATGTCACTAATTTGAGATGGCTGGCCATATAAATGGAATAAATTATAAAACCTAAAGTCATGCTTCAGTAATAGGATAACCTAACCCTATTATAACCCTAACCCTATTACTCCTTATAATAAAACTGAAGTCCACACAAACATATAACCAAACGTACTCAAATGTTTTGAGATTTTACAAAATACCAGTATTTTCAGCATTTAATTAAAAGATAAAATAACTGGCCATATTACTTACAAAGCCATCAGATGGCTTGGGCTAGGAACAGCTATTTTTTCACTAGTTTGTCTAAATATAAATAATTTAAGGACCTTTGCTGAAAAGAAAGCTAACAAAAATAGAGTCCTGCTAATCTCTTTTTCCATATTTTTAAACAATAAGATAATCCACTGATATTATTGGATACTATTTGAATACATTCACAGAATTGCTTCCTTTGATCAAATTTCAGCTATTCAAAGCTATTTTTCTCAATTTTAATATGTATTTTAATAAAAAGCAGTAAAAAACATTCTGTGCCAGATAAAGTTGTAAGGTAAAATCTACACAAGGAAAATTCTGCTCACATCACAAAAGCAACACAGATTTTAAAATACAAGGGAATCTTCAAAATTTGGCTTCTAATTTTAATAGCTGGAAAAAGAAGTTCATATACATAGTGCATTTAACTAATAATAATAAGGCCTATTAAGCTTGTGATAATGTAAATTTTTAGCTGATCTTCTATTGTTAGTCAAAATAATAAAATCCAGCAGTATAAACTCCATTAGAGGCTGAATAACTCTTTGGTATGATTACTTGGACATTTCTGAAGCTGTTTATTTTGGCTTCTATGAAGTTTTGTTTGGGATTGATATGATATGTTCAGTCCTTAAACCATGCGTAAGTAGGTAGTCTTTTACTTGTAATTATTCAGCAACTAACCCTAATATTTTACACATTGAGCTGATTATCAAGAAGAACAGTCCTATGACTCTAGCTATAAAGTGTATATTTTAAATGGTTGTTTTTTTCCTTGATTACATCCCTAATATTTGGAATCTACCAATAAATGAGGAATTATGGTGTTTTTTTCAGGCACTGGAACTAAGTGAAATAATTAAATGCTAAGAAAGGGAATCTACATATTTACAGCAATAAATTGTTGATATATGGGTTGCTTATAAATATATAGATTTGTTTAAAATGTCCTAAGGAGCAAAGGAAGAACACTTTGGAATAATGTAAAAATATTGATAACATACAATCTTTTAAATGTTGAAATTAATATATTAATAATCTTGTGCATAATAGTTTTTCTTTATATTTTGGATCATAGATTCATTTAGTTTGCTCAAATTCAGTCCGCAAAAGTTAAGGAACAGGTTTCTATGATTAGAAAAAAGTATTATCTGATGTAAATCATGTTAATCAATCTTTCTTGAAGTAGAGATTTTCATGAAGTTGAATGCTGTGCCTATACAATAACTGTATACTGATTTTGGGCAGCAGCTTAAAGCAAGTTTATTGTTGTTTTAAGTATAGTTGTTTAATACTTTAATTACTCTTGATATAATAGGGAGCTTTTTTGGCTATTTTTTTAATTGGGGATGGTTTTTTAAAAAAACTTTTTAAGCTGCCAGAGTCACAGAAGTGAGATGAGTGACTACATAAATTTAATAAACAAATAAATGATATAGTTTTGATATGATACACATTGCTCACTTTCTTATTCTACAATTCCTCCTTGTCCTTGGATTTATGCGATCATTTGTAAACCTTAGTTTAGAACCTTAGTTTAGAACGTTCTGGGCGTTCTATGACAAAAAAAAGCCCTGCTGCTATCACAGTCAATACTAAAAATGAAAGAGTATAAAAATTTTTAAATGCTCTTGTTTTTATAGCATGACAATCAATTTTTAAAACTGTACAAGTTATGGCTTCTATGACATTTTAGATAATATCCAACTCTAGATAATATTACTTACACTGTTTGGCTTCATTGCATTAATTATAAGCAACAAATAATTACAGTTTGAAATAATGTAAAGAACACCTGTCACTTCTGAATAAGAACTACAAATATAATTATTAATACTATAATTTTGTACAAAAAACAAGTATAGGTTTTATTTTGATATTACAAATTATAAATGATATATCCCAAGTTAAACTCAACATTTGGTTTGAAATTTCCTTTAGAAAAGAAGTTCTTAACACTTAGCTTAGTTTTGAAGGTGAACAGTGTACATTTTTAGAGTTGCTTCCCAAAATTCCAACATTTTTCTAATCTTATATATCAGTTGCAACCAGGTCACTATCATTTCAATACTAAGTACATTATTAAATACAGACCAAGATTTATATAGGCTTTCTACATCATGATGTTTGATCTTGAGAAGGGAATAGGGATCAGATTTCTCTGCCAATTTTTCTTCCAGGTATTGCTATTACCATCATTCAAAAAACAATACACAGTTGCACTAGCTTTCCCTTCTTGAATGATTTTCTGTGGTTAAAAATAAAAGGCACAAAAATAATATATATATATATATGTTATTACAAATGTACATTAGTGGCATAATTAAAACATTAAGTTTAGGGTATGCATGTATTTATGCAGGTATGTATATGTGCATATATGGATTTTCCTCTTAAGGACAGTATAATGATTCAAATTAAAAGAAAACTTACAAATTGAGACACTCAGATTCAGATTCTCTGCAGTTATAGAGTCACTGGATGACTTTGCACTAGTCATTTTCTTTATAGCCCAACAACCCACAAGATGATGGTTGTACAAATAAATGAAAGCATAATTCTCTGTATGCAATTCAAACCAAAATCTTTGAAAAATTGAGATATAACACTGACAAATTAAATAAAGTGGTAATGTTCCTAGAACGAGGCAGAATAAAAGTCACATCTAGAAGAACGACAAAAGGCTATTATATGAAGGCTTGAGATAAACTCATATTAAATTTGATTAAAATACCAAATAGTCACAGAAATAAAATAAAAGATTACCAGTTATGTGTCTGAACAAAAAAAAGTCCGGCTCAGCAAAGGTTATGCTACATTCGTTTTTTATTAAACCACAATCAAACCAACCACACACTGGCTCTCAATATTGGGCATAACCCAATTATTCTCCAAAATGGCAAATCCAAGGCCACTTGAAAGTGTGCACATAAGTCACTTGCTTGGTAATTAGTCTGACACGGATACGGGCAAAAAGAGAAAAGCTTTTAATTTTTACAGAACTCGTTATTTGCTTGTCTGCAAACTTGGATCGGGGTTTTGCAACTCACGTTTTCCAAAGCAATCAAGCTAACGGTTCCCCACCTACCATAATTATTACATTTCTGAAGAGGATAGTTTGAAAAGCAGACATAACGCCATATTTTTCAAAAGTCACCCACGAAGTTTTTCTTGGTAAGTGCTAAATATTCCGCTGTCTTTCCTTCTGGGCGTATCTTTCTGTTCGAAAGCAAAACGCCTATTCAATTCCACTCGCTGTAGAAAGCACTGTGCTATTTGCCGTCTTTTAAACTGTGTAAAAAGCAACTCTACTCGCTTTGTACTGGTCAAATTTCTCCCGCACACCGCGGAAAATCCTTGGTCCCCACGCAGGAGTTTTGCTCTATTCGGGTACATCTGTTCAAAGACAGTTGTACCCCACGAGCAGACAATACACCTCATACAACTCTATCTTAAACACCTTTCTCCAGAAACTCATCCCACCCCATTACTGCGCTCAGCGGAGCTAAAACTCCAGAGAATCCCAGGATAGTTTTCGGTGGCCACTGCATCCAGTACTCGATTCTAGACGCGTCAGCTGTAAATTCCACAAGTTTAATCAAACTTCCTCTACTGAACGCAGAAATGCGCATTCCACTCTCAATAAGAGGCGCTTAATACAGCAAACTTTAAAGAAAGAAGAAAGGCAGCAAAAGTAAACGCCAGAATTCCCCTACAAAGAACACGCACAACCTACCTGCCGTTTCCTGCTCCCTAAGGACCCTAACCAGACACGGGTCAGCGTCTTCATCCACTCCCTCCAACCTTCTTACCTGAAAGCACCCCACCAAAGCTGCCCGCAGAGGCAGCATACAGAGCAGGTATCCGCAAGTGCGCGGCATAAGCCGCCGTCCCTAATCAGCTGCTGTCCGTCCTCCACATCGACTTACTGCCAAAAGCGCGCAGGTTTCCCTTCCGCGCATTAAAGGACCAGCTGCTGACCTTGGCCGCCCCACTCATAGCAACGTCATTTTGAGGAAGCAGGCGGGTCTTTTCCAATCAATTGCTGCACTCGCCTGCCGTTGCTGCAAGTCAAGTGGCGTTTTCTTTGCAAAAACGAAACTAACCCAAACTTCCTTTTTCCAGCCTGATGCCCTTTCATTGCTTTCACAAAGGAATACAAAAGGGAAAAGAACTTTCTATCCTAAATGTATTTTTTCTTTGACAGATTGGATGTTTATATAGGCTGGGTTTACACAAAACACAAATGAATCAATCATAACTATCAGCCTAATCTGTTGGGAAAATCTATCCTAATAAATGTCTCAAGTTGAGTGGTAGTTGGAAGCCAGCAAACTTGAATAAGCCTTGAGTTATATGCTCATCATAAGCCATATGATGTGGAGAGAACCAATGGGTTAGATCCAAACCAGTCATTTCCGTACTGGAATTTATAGTCCCATTGTGCAAAAATAATAGTAACCTGGGCAAATTTTACATACTGGTAACTACACTGATGGCTGAGTGAGGTTACAGAATCACTATAGCACTGGTGTATGATAGAAGTAAAGTCTTCATCCTGGTTCATCCAAGCCGGGAATAAATAAGCAAACATGGTGACTGCTTTGGGAAGAAGGTTACAGTTTATTGCAGAAGAAAGATGGTCCTTGCAAGAAGGAGCAGAGGAGAAGAAAAAAACTGAGCACATGGGTAGAAGGTTTTTATACCCCCCCTCTAGCCTGTTTGGAATAGTTTCATGTTCCTGTGGCATGAACTTTGAGGCTATTTCTGAGTGTTTTTCTAGGCCTTGATATCTGTGGTTTAATCCTATTATCATATCCTGCTTCCCAGGTGATGGGGCTAATGACTCCTAGAGTTTGGGTGGGGCATGCAGATTTTCTCTTTCTGATGGTTTTACATCTGCATCTGTATGGGGCTAGGTTTGCTTGGGGCAGAGAGATTTGGAGCCAAAGTTGGTTTCTGCTTTTTAAAATACTTTTGAGGAAATATATATTTCTGCCCTTTTAATATTTCCTTCTCTGGGGCTCTGACTTCCCACATGTATAATATCTGTTGACTTATTTTGATAGGTATGCATGGCACTGGTTGGTCTCATGGTTGCAGATGTTGTAGAGTTATAGGCCTCATCCTTATTTCATTTAACTGTGGAGCACTTCTTCCCCTTTCTCTTACAATGATATTGCATGTCCCATCAATCGGGACTTAGTCTGCTGGGATCAAGAAAATAAGAATTTTCTGTGGCAGCACTTGCCCTCTGTATCACATCACCTAAGATCTGGCTGATCCTGACTCAACTATTATTCCAGAAAGTCTTAAAAGCATGCTGTTTTCCAGATATAGGTTTGGGAGATTTAACAAAGCCAGTGAAACGAATTGCAATGTAGTAATTACTGTTAGCCTTAGCTGTTTATTGTTAATTGGTTGTTTTCTGTTGAGATTTATTTTATATTAGCCACCCAGAATGGCTGTTGAGATATGGATGGCACTATGAAAATATACATTTAATATATATGTAATATTTAAATATTAAATATTTATATTTAAATAAATATAAATTATTTAAATAAATATAAATTATTTAATAATTTAAAGCATGACTGATGTATGAGTGTATCAAGAGTCTGGTCCTAAACTTCTATGATCAAAAGTCACCTAAAATTCTCCTGAAATTCTCTTCTAAATAGTAATATTCCATGATAAAACTGATGAAAACTATCTGGTCAAAGTGCAACAGGTTTAGGTTATAAAATAAGAATTAAGGGGCTATAGGACAGTTTGAATTACCAATTTAGGTAACCTTTTAGATGCGTTAGTTGGGAAAATTGTCATGATCAGCGATCTACCTCTAATTTCTTATGCTGTGTTGAAAAATACATTAAAGGGAAGATTGTATTCAGACTCTGATTCAATAAACTTCTATAGTTGTTATACTGTGTACTGTTACATATTTGGGTGATTGTGCTCTGGGAGGACAAAGATCCTGGTGATGGGAAGGGGAGGGAAACAGGTTCTCTGTTTTTTCCCCCATCTCAGTTTGACTAACAATATTAGACTTTCCTAACCCTAACTCTAACCCTTCCATGTATTGATTATGTCTCAGCCTACTCAGATTTTAAGGTTAATCAAGATCAGCTAAGGCCTTGCCACCAATTGGGATGAAGGGGTAGATACCCAAATTTTATTTGTGGGCAATAGCCTTTTAGTCAACTGTATGATGACATCCATGATGGCAAAACAAATAAAAAGAATTAGACTTCTTATACCCCAGATTTCACTGACATGGTAAACAAGTATAATTAGTATCAAACCTAGATAAATTGTATACAAATTCAGAGATTAGTTGGCATCCCTGACATGAAGTCTAGCATGGTGACCAATCCAGTATCTGATATAATATCTGGGTTTATTACATTAAACCAAAAAAAGAGAAATCCTATTATAGTAGGATTGGACAATGTTTAAGGGGTCAGGGACCACATTTCATCCTTCTGGCCTTTCAGAGGGATTGCAAATTGCTATCCAGTAACACAATGATGACACTGGAAAAGGCTGGTTATTTTCAAATTTTCTTTGGTTTTGTAGATTTAGGTTCTGTGTGGTGGTAACTTGAGGATCTGTTTATTATATCTTGATAAGTTTAGAGTAGCAATTAAATTGCCAGCTATGATTGAGACATGAAACTGTAAGAGGTTTTTTTCCTTTATTTCATCAAGAGTTTGATCTAGAACAGTATATTAATAAAACATTTTTCTGTCTCTCATTCATGATACTATTTAATAATGACAATTTGGGGAGGTGAAGATACAGTTCTCAGCTATTATGTTGAAAATAATGGTCTATCTGCGCTGTCCCATGATACTTATTGAGGAAAGGGTTCATTGAGATTTCTTAAGGTGTATCTGTTTTAATACCACATTAAAGCAGGTTTTTGTTGAATTCAGTGGAAGACTGAGGTGCTATATAGTCCAGGGGTGGGGAACCTTGGCTCTTTTATGACTTGTGGACTTCAACTCCCAGAATTCCCCTGTTTCTTGGTTCTGTTGAACAAATAAATAAATAAAAGAAACAACCTTTAGTCTAATTGCTAGTTCTGCACAGTACTTTACAGT